ACGCTCGCAGAGACAAGGGCACGAAACAAAGATGTACAGCTCCACGTTCAACCACAAAGCAAATGCTTGTGCAATCGCCAAGCTACCACCCTGAGGCCTCCCACCCTCTCGGACCACGGCCCCTGCCCTTCTTCCTGTACCTGTGCAGACACTCGCCCCAGAATGGCAGTGTGAACTCCACACACCTGGCACCCTGCATTTGACACCCTTTGTGTCTGGCTGTTGTCAACACGCACTCAGCGGCCACCCACAGAGAGTCTCACTGCTGTCTGATGCTGCCTGGCCACAGTTTTATGCGTCATTCTATTGGCCGTGCAAGTGTGAATTATTTCCGGGTTTTGTTATAATGAACGTTATAATTGCGATAAACGCTTGTGTACCTATTCCTTAACGATACATTTCTGTCGAGTGTGTAACTCTTAGGTGGGTAGGGCTGCCATAACAAAGTAGGACGAGCTGGGTGGCTTACCACAACAGACATGTCTCCTCTCACAGTCCGGAGGCCGGAAGTCTGAGGTGCCAGCGGGCCCCCCTCCCCTTGAGGCTCCGGGTGGAATCGCTTCTTGCCTCTTCCTGGCTTCCCAGGAACATCGGTCCTCCGTGCTCTTAGACTTGCAGCCACACACCTCCTATCTCTGCCTCCACCTCCAAGTGGCATTTTTTTCTCATCTCTCCACATTATCTTCTCCTAAGGACCCCAGCCAGATGCCATTCAGGGCTCACCCTGCTTGTGACCTCATTGTTAGCTAATTACATCTGTGATGACCATATTTCTAAATAAGGTCATTGCCCTGGCTGGTGTGGCTCGGTGGATTGACTGTTGTTGGCCTGTGAACTAAAGGGTCGCTGGTTCGATTCCCAGTCAGGGCACATGCCTGGGTTATGGGCCAGTTATCCAGTAGGGGGCGTGTGAGAGGCAACCACACATGTTCTCTCCCCTCTTTCTCTCTCCCTTCCCCTCTCTCTAAAAATAAATAAATAAAATGTCTAAAAAATAATAAATAAGGTCACATTTGGAAGTACTGGGGGGGTAAGACTCCAACATATCTTTTTAGGGGGCACAATTCGATCCATAACAATAACTTTAAGAGTGGGATTGCTGAGTTGTCTTAGCAGATCCTGAGAAAGGGCCTGCGTGTAGACAATGGCTTTGTGCCGTGGAGCTGGGAATAGACGAGGCAAGTGAGGTGTCTCAGGTGCACGATGCAAAGAGCCCAGGGCCCAGCTTGCTCCGGGGAGTGTTCCTCACCCTCATGACCACTCACAGTGAGGGAATAGACAGAACGTGACCAGGGAGGGAGAAAGCCAGCGAAGGGTTCCTTCACTAGCTGCCCCTGTGGGTGGCTAGGGCTCAGCCCCCCCGGGGAATCTCTAAGGGCCCTATAGCAGGTGCCTCCCACTTGTCCCACAGCAGGACAGGAAAGCAGCGCACTGGCCACTCACTCCTGGACCTTGTTGGCTGCAGGCTGTCTCCGGGGCATTAAACCCCCTGTGCCTGTGGGATGACCCAGCTGCCGTCACCCTGGAGGGTGGACTTGGGCAGAGAGGGAGAGAGATGGAGGTGCTTGTCGGGGAGGCTGCTGGCGCCAGCTGTGCCCTGCAGGCTCAGGTCACATCAGAGCTACGGACCGAGGCATGAAGAGTGTCGGCTGCAGCCCCTGCCTTGCAATGCGTTTGGCTCATGGAGCCCCCTGTTATTGATGCTCCAGGAGGGGTGGTGGCTGGTCACAATGCCAGGAAAAAAGACTTAGCATGGGTGGGTTAGGGGAACAAGCTCCTCTCCATGCTGTAGCTGGTCCTAGGGCCCTAACTGCTCTCCAGCATCTCCCTTCTCCATCCCCCAGTCTGTGTCCCCTTCACCAGCAACCAGCACATCATGGGCCTGGAGATCCCAGACCTTCATTCCTGACGGGTCTGAGCAACTGTGTACCTTGGCCTGGCTGGGCTGTGGTGGCTGCAGACACTCATTCACAGTCGTCACCAGACACGGGAGTAGCAAGAGGTGTACCCTGGCACATTCTCCACGTTCCAGGCACCCTTCTTCCGGCTCACGCATTGCAGCCTCACTCCTCCTCCTCATCAGGGCCGACTGCCTGGTGGGAGAAGTCACAGGTGACCGGTAGCAGGGGTAGTCTTCAACTCAGTGGTAGGAAAGTAGAAGGGACCCTCTTCCCACCTCTCCCCACCTCCCCCCAACACACCAGGGACAAGCACCTCGTTTTAGAGGATAAAGTTTGGGGATGGGAAGCAAAGGGGTCCCCAGGTGGGTGCTGCAGGGACCACTCCTACTTCTGCTTTTCAGTTCCCACTCTTGAACCCTAACTCTTGGGCATCAGACACCAGTAACGGCTCGTGGGGGGTGCGTGTGTTTCCTGGAGAGCACAGCCCCTCCCAGAACGTCTGGCCTGGGCTGGTGTCTTCAGAGCCTTGGAGAAAGAAGCTCATCCTCCAGCTTTGTAGTGGGAACCAGTGGGTCTCATCATTGTGTGTCCTTGGTAGAGTTCCCTTCCCCGTCAGACAGGTTCTTTGGTCAGAGATGTTATCCATAATTCCACGTAGGAAAGCAAGCAAGCATGTGTGAGGCCTATTTGGAAGTGTTTATTATGTTTTATTTTCCTGAACTACTTGTCAGTTCTTACAACAAGGCCGCATTGTCTTAGTGACCTTCAGAGCAAGTCTTGCTACCTGGTAGACATCTCTTTTTTTTTAAATTTTTATTTTTTAAAATGTATTGATTTTAGAGAGGGGGGGAGAGAGAGAGAGACATCAATTTGATGCTCCACTTATTTACACATTCATTGGTTGATTCTTGTATGTGACCTGACTGGGGGATTGAACCTGCAGCCTTGGTGCATTGGGATGACGCTCTAGCCAATTTACCTACCGGGCCAGGGCCAGAATCTCTCTTCTTGTTTTTTATTGGCTGCACTTTACCTTTTCCATTTCAACAGACATAAGAATATCACCTTGTCAACTCCATGAAAACTGTGTTGGATTTTTGAGTGTTGATGGCACCGAATCTATAGTTCCTTTGGGAGGAACTGACATCTTTACAACACGGAGGCTTCTGACCCGTAAACATATATCCATTTCTTTGGGTCTTCTTTAATTTTCCCCCAAAATATTTCATAGTTCTGTGTAGACATCTTGCACATCTTCCATTGCATTTATTCCTAAGTATATGCTATTTCTGATGCTCTTCAATTAGTATTTTTAAGTTTTTAAACTCTTGGCTGCATATATAGCTATTCAGCTGATTTTCGGGGACTGATCATACCCAGCAAATTCATTCAACTTTTATTTTTAATAACCTGTGAATTCTTTTGGATTACCTAAGTACGCATCATCTGTAAGAAAAGACAGTGTAACAGCTTCCTTTCCAATCCCCACAATTGAATTCTCCTGCTTCTTTCCACCAACTAGGGTCTCTACTGAGTTTGAGTGATGAGAGCCGGCACCTTTGTCTGTCTCCTGATCTGCAGGAAAAAATATTCAACATTTTACCATTCAATGCATCTCATACACCATAGTTCTTGGTTTTAAATGTGCCTGATAAATGTGTAAGACGTGTTGATCGCAGCCCGTGAGAAACCCTGAGCAAGCGGCCCAGCCAGGCCACATCGGGTTCCCTGATCCACAGTTTGAGAACATGCTGCTCTCAGCTGCTAAGTGTCGGAGGTCATCAGTTACACAGCTAAGGCGGAAGGGACGTGTGATCCTCCCTTCAACGTCCCACCTATGGTGACGGCAGTAGTGTCATCTGGCAGAAAGGACATGAGCTTCCGAATCAGGCAAACCGAGAAGCCCATTCCTACCCTGTAAGTTATTTAATATCAGTCATCTCGTTTTCCCCTGTAAAATGGAGATAGCGTCTGCTTCTGAGAGGGGCTACGATTACGTGTGATGGGGTGGAATTCTCAGCTCAGTGTCTGGCACGTAGCAAAAATTTAAATGCACAGTTCCCTTTCTTCCTTTTTTTAAAAAAAGCCCACTAGCATCTAGCCTGTTGTGCCCTTCACATATGCTGACCGTATTTCCTAGATGTGATTACAGAATATTGTGCAGCTGTGAGGCAGAACGTGACACAGAAAATCGCGGAAACGTAGGACCCTTCGTTGCTAAGCCATTGTGCGAGCTCCCCTTCGTTTTTTTTGACAGGCGTTAAAAACCACCTGGGCTGAACATCCGGATTCTGCTTCTCCCGCAGTTGGGCCATTGCCGTGTGTTACGATGAGTTAGAGATTTCCTGTCCTTAGCAGTGGAGCCAGCTGCGTGGGATCCATTTCACAGGGAACCCTCCGGCCTCACTTCGGACCAAGCCTTTCAACTTTCTGTTGCTGCTGTCAGAAGTGAATGAATGCTGAGAGGTGATGTCAGCTCCCACTGCCTATGCCATCTCTGCAATAAATGTCAGCTGCAACGTGGATCAGCCCCGAAGAGTAGAGGCAGCCCAGGGGGGCAGGGTCTGGGGTTGGAAGAGCAGGCTGCAACGCCAACCCTCACCTCTTTGCTGAGTCAGTCTTTTTCTCGCAAGCTGGTTGTTTCACCTGTAAACCGTGAGTCAGAGTATTTACCTCCTCAGGGTCACTTTGCAGATTATATTGGGGGATTTAGGAAGCATCTAGCAACTAGTAGGTACTTAATACATTTTAAAAAGGCTTTCTTGTGCCAAGGGGGCAAAGGGCAGGGCAGGCTGGCAGGATGCGGACTCTGCTTGCTCCCCCATGTGTGGTCTGTCCCAGAGCACTGGCCCCACCTAGTGGCCCCTAGGAGCCTGACTCTCGGCCGCCGGGACCTGCTCAACCAGATTTGCATCCCCACAAGATCCCCACGAGCAGCAGTAACTCGGGTGAGAAGTTCTCTGAGAGGCTGTAAGACGATGACGACATCGTGCCTAAGGCGGGTTTGCAGATGTTCTGGGCGCTGCCCCTCTTTGTTGCATCCAAACAAGAATGACACCGACCAAGACTTGCCCTAGCACAGAGAAGCCAAACCACGAATCTGAATAAATAAGCATCAATTTTATTGAATCATGAATAATTTAAGACTGGTACAATCATCAGCTTTATTCTCTATGACGTGGGGCATGATCTCCAGCAGATCATTGGCAAATCCAAAAACCTCATGACAAATGAAAATTAAATAGGGAGACAGGGCGGGCAAGGAGGGCGGGGAGGGAGGATGGAAACATACCGTACACAAAATACTCGATTCCTAGTTTTCTCTTTAAAAATGGCTAGAAAAAATTCAGCAAAATGCAGCACTTTGATCCATTATTTACAATTTCTATGTTACAATGAAAAAATGTACATCTTATAGAACATATTTCATAAATTGCTCTGCTGGCAAACAACTAGATCAAAACAGCAAACCTCCCGTTTAATATCCACAAAGTTGGACTATTTTTTCTTTTTGTGGTAGATTCGCCATGATCAAATTTGAATACACAGAATTCTGAAGTTTAGAGCATCCACAATTAAATAAAAAATGTTCCCAAGGTACAACAAAGGTATAGGCAAATCTCTATTCCTTGCCCCGCCCCTATCCCACCCCAAACCTTGAATTAAAAGATATTCCCATCTCATTTATGGCCTGTATAATTCTTGGCAGTTTGGGAAGAAAATTTTGGCTTCCATTGGTAACTCAACATAAATGTTGCATAGAATTCCATACATTTCAAAATTAGCCTAACTGTAGAAAAAGGCAAAATGGAAGCATTTCAGACAGAGCCCTAAATGAGTACAAAGTCACTTTCTCAAAGGTGAGTGACACCGATAAAGTAAAATATGACCAAGAGGAGAAATGTGCACATCAGACAACCCTGCTTCCCACAATGTTAGGAGGGCCACTGAGTCGTGAATCACACAAGGGTCACACTACTGGGAATCACTGTTCGCTAGTTGGGCAGCACCAGGGACAGAGGTCTCGGTTCTAAGCCTGGACCCAGTGGGAGGGAAGTCTGTGGGAGAGGGAAGAGAAAGAGAGGGTGTTGCTTAAAAAGGAAGAAAAAAAAAGAAGAGTTTCAAACAACACTGACAGGCGTCTACTCACAAGGTGACTGGGAAAACTGCCTGCAAGGAGAAGTCAATTTCGCCTCCTCCCAAATTCACAGTATGAGTGCCAGGTCATCGCAGGGGGCTAGACCGAGAAGGACCACTCTGCAGGTCTACCAGAAGGCTCAGGGGTCGGCCCGTGGCCACAGGCCAAATGCATGGGTTTGAAAAATGTATGGAAAACCAATCAGGACAGGACACACTCACACAGCCCGATGACTAATGAAGGCTTCGCAGAAGAGAGCCTGAGTCTACTGAGACAAAAACAGGGATGGTGTCCAGAGGTTTTCTATTTACCAGTTAGTGGGACAAATTCCCTTTTTCCTCTGGAGGAGGAACGCGGTGTCATCCAATGGGACGGGAGCAGGCGCAGGTCTAGCTCTTGTGGTAACAAGAAAACACAGAAATACCCCTTCATGTACAGAAATGTGAAGATGGAAGAAAGCCCCTGATCTTAACAGAGACTCCCCCACTGGGGTCAAACAAGATTCTCCTGTAGAAACAAACAACGGACAGACTCGCCACACTCTGTAAAGAAAACACCAGCGTGGTGAAGACACCGAGTAGCATGGCCATGTCCGCAATGCCGTGGGGACTAGACTTGTAGGAGCTGTGCCTGGGCGTCAGCTGGAGACTGCTAAAAACCTAAAAAAAAAAAATGAATTCTTTTCCTTTTTCCCACAGTCACACACCCACACAAATGAGTCCTTCGGATGAGACAGAAGTCACAGCAACTTGAGTTCTCCTGATGAGTAGATGATTTTTTAGCCCTGTGTGCTCTGACGGGAAAATTAAAACAAAAAACAAAAAAAAACAGACCCCAGACAGGCGTGACACTCATTCATGAACACGGTTCGTACAAAACCAGTAAGGCATCGCTTTGGGAAGGTCAGCACCCAAGAGGCCAGGCAAAAGGCTCGCCCGGATGGAGGCTGGGGCGGGGCTTCCGGGAGGGCGTGGCTGCCACCCCCTTGTTGGGTTGCATCGCGTTGGTCAGAAGAAAAGTGCAAGTCTTTCTCGAGGTGACCTCCCCACCCCACCTGAGGTTGGGGCTGGAACGCTTGGGGTGTCGACGTGCGTTCCAAAGCCTTGAGGACGAGAAGGAAAGGCAAGATCCCAGCGCACCCGCAGGTCGAGGACGGGGCCCTGGCCCACTTCACGGGACGCAGCTGCTGCAGCTGCAGCCGCCGCAGGAGGCAAGTGTGTCGATCTGTGAGGATGGACAACTGAAAACCGCAACTCAGCAGGACCAAACCGGGCTTTCACCGAAGGATTGATTCTGACACGGGGGAAGGGGAACATCTTCAAAATCAAAGAGTCAGAAAGGGAGGAACTCCACCTCATTCTCAAAGGGGTCATCCGTTCTCCAAAGCAGACCGGCTCCCGCTGCACACAGTGTTGGCAGAGGAAAAACCTGATTCACTTCTCTCTGGGGAGCAGACAGACAGGGCCGTCTGCAGGGCTGCACCTCCACGGGGCACATCCTCCCTCGGCAGTTGGCTCGGGCGCTGCGGAGGCTGCAGGCTGCCAGGTCTGAACGGGGTGGCCGGGCTGAAACGGGCCGAACACCTCTGGGCGAGGAGAGCACCATTTAGAGAACAAAACAATACAGAAAAAGCACAAGTTGTTATTTTTTTTCCTAAGGCTTCCCTGTGTCATAGCTCTGCCGTTTATTGTGGAACCAAAGCAAATGCCGAGTTAGCACCAGTTCTCCGAGGCGGCCGGAGTGGACGCAGGGGTGCGCAGGGGTGCCGGGGGTGGGGTGGGGGGTGGCCCAGACCCGGTCTGTGGGACCTGCACAGAGGGGAAGCTGTGCCGTCTGCATTTCCAACTTTGCTCCAGTCTCTCTGTTGCCGGACAGCTGGTGGCAGGATGCTGTGTGGTTTCAGAGCTTCGGATGGCGTTTTCATGTTTAACCCTTTTCCTTTCAGCAGTGATGATCCTTTCCCGAGAGGCATCTTCAGTGTCTTAGGGAAGTCACAGCAACAAGGCAAAAACAATACTTAAAATAAAACCGAAGACAGTGCAGCTCTCACTGTGGAAGGAAGCAGTCCCAAGGCGGCCGGCCCGGGATGCCTGCACCCAGGTCAAGGCTGGGGGACGAGGGGTCTTAGTGTCCCTGCAGCACTCACGCTGCGGCCAGGGCTGGCTCAGGAGGGCATCTTCAGGGTGATGTAGGTGGAGTGGGACGAGGAGGAGGAGGAGGGGAAGGGAGAGGGGGAGGATGAGGAGGAGGAGGAGGGCAGGCTCCAGGGCCAGGCCCCCGTCACAGAGTGGACTCCAGGGACGAGTCCAGGATGTCATCGTGGTGGCTGTTGCTGTTGGAGTCGCTGTCGTAGCTCTGTGGGCTGGAGTAGTTGGCCGCTTCCTGCAGCCGCATCAGCATGTTCATCTGCAAAGAACGCAGAGGGTGAGCAGCTTCCTGTCCAGATCACCACCCACTGCTGGCCTCTAGCAAGCTCACGCCTCCTTCTCCAGACTCACCTTGGGACTGCAGCCCACAGCGGGGATGGTAGACAAGAGCACGGGCTCTGGGCCAGGCTTCCACGGTTCAAATCCTGCTGCACCACTTACTAGCTAGCTGCATGACCTTGGACAAGTTCCTGAACCTCTCTGTGTCTCAATGTCTTCACTGGTCAAACAAATGTGAGTAACAGTTGTACCTGCCCTACAACATTATGGCGCGGATTGAGTTAACATATGCAGAGCCCTGAAAACAACACGGAAAGTCCCCGATAATCCCGATACTTATTTTTACTTGGGAGGGGCACACCCTAGCTGAGCCTCAGTAAAGGGCAGCCGAGCCTCCCTCCTTCCGGAATGCGTTCATCAGCACCCTGACTTCCAGGGCCCAGGGCTCCCTCTTTGGTGAGCACAAGCTCATCTGTGCACCAGCTGCCACCCAGGCCTTCACGGGGAGGGCAGGGACAGCGCCAGGAGCAAGCAGAGCCACAGGATCAGAGGCCTGGAGCCCGACTCAGGAGTCTGGACAAAGCGCCTCATGTATCTGACCACCAGTTCCTTGTGTCTAGACTAGAGAGAACAGCGGCCCCTATGCCCCAGGGCTGAAGGAGGAGACGAAATGACATCATGTGTATCGGGCCCCGAGAATGGGGCCTGGCACAATGTAAGTGCTCAATAAATGTGATCTGCTGCTGTCATCATCATCATCATGTTCGAGAGTTTAAAGGGTGCACTTCAATCTTCCCTGACCTTCTCTATTGTTACGTGTTCGGGAGTGGAGATGGGGAACTAAAAACTACTTTTACTTTATCTCTAATTATACATTGTGTGTATATGTAGTTTATATTTTATCTAGCAAGTAAAAGAGGAAGATAGAGTCTCCCCAAGCTAAGGCCTAGACTTGGTGCTGTGGGCAGGAAAGCCAGCTGCCCCCCCAGATGCCCAGCAGTCCCCCTGGGTGAGCCCGGTGTCCATGATGGGGGGGCACAGAAATGCAGAGACCAACCCTCTGCAGCCGAGGTTACGTATTCACTCGTCAGCGTCCCTGGGACACCCACGGCGCGTGGTCTGGGACACTCACGGGTTGAGTCCTGCCCTCTCGGAGGTCTTGGCCTCACACACGGAGAGGCTAATGAACACAAGGGCTGTTGTAACACGAGACCAGTGGCCCCGGGCAGCGAGCACAGACTTGGGAGAAACACTGAACGTCCAGCGTGGTAAGTAGGGGTGGCTGATGGACGCATTCACTTCTGGAGGCCTGGGGTTGGAAGGAGCCTTCCGTGTAGCTGTTCTCAGAATCCCAGGTTTACCTAAATGCCTTCTGTATTCAATCAGTGAGACGAATATTCCTGGTCCAGAAAAGAGTGCCTGGGAACATGCCAGCCACCACACATCCTATTTTCCTATAGGACCTCGTGAGCTTGCATCCACAAAAATACTGTCATGACTGGAGATCAGCAGTGGTTCATGTCAGAAAGACCTTTTTAAAGTTTGATAAACACTGCAAATTAGATTGTGTATCGTAACACACACAAAAAAGTCCATTTAAAATACTGTTCCTGTTAAAAAAAGTCTCAGCAGAAGCACAGCGCCACCCCAGCAGTCATCAGGGCAGCAGATGGCCAAAGCAGCTACTGCTGTTTTTAAATCGAGCAAAGCCATTGGTCAGCAGGGAGCGGACAGCGACTGGTCGTCTTTTAATCCCGCTGCATCTCTCCCGAACCTCTTCTGTCACACTAGGTGATGCGAGTGACGGTCTCTGACGGGCTTTTCCTTTTGCCTTAGTTGCCGGGGGAGCTCAGGGCTCCACATTAGGCACGATGGTAGTGTTTAACCATGGCAGGCTCTGCTGTGTTTGCTCCCACTGCATTTCATGGGCTTTTGCTTTGTTAGGTCTAATTTTGCAGCATGACTGTGCCTATGCCTTATATTAACAGAGAGAGTTCAATGGGCCTTTGAATAAATGACACCCTTTTGTGATAATACCGATGACATGCCACAGGCCCTTAATTCTTACTTATGTCAATGAGCCTGTGGTAACTGATGTACGTGGTTGTATTGCATGTGGTTTCACGTAAAGTCACAGAACCTGTTGATGGTGTTCATTGAGGACTTTCTGAACTATAACTGCAGCGTCACCATCACCGGCCCAGGTTCTTCCTAAAGGGTCCTTGTTCCTTGCAATGGCAGCGTCAGTAAGCAGCTCACACAGTGGCTGAACTCGTCTCACTGGCCACAGGACCCGCACGGAGGCCATCCTGCCTGCCAGCCCCTCCCTGCCTGTGCTGCTGATTGTCTGGCCGGGGCTCGGCTCTGCTCCTTGGCAAACTTGGCCTCTGCTCCGCTGCAAGTGGGAACAGCGGTTGCTGGAGCAGGACTGCACAACAAAGGTGGCCCTGAGGTCAGAGGGCAGGGAGTGGTATAGGAACGACACTTAGAAAAAAAAAAATCAAGTTCTTATCTCTGACCGTCTACCACAAACAACTTCAGAGTGCTTAAAGATTTCAGTGCAAAACTAAAACCATGGAAGATAATATTGGCAAAAGAGTCCCTAATCCTGGAATGAACCCAGCTTCCCAAAGCAAGGACAGGGCTCAGTCACCTCTGTGTTCTCAGCAGGCTTTGCTTCATGCCCAATACACAGTAAGCGCTCAGCGAGGGCCGAGCCGCCCCGGGTGCTGAGCACTCACCAGCGGGTCTCCTTCGGCGTCACTGGGGGGCATCTGCTTGCTCGTGGAGCCCTCCCGAGGCATGGAGTAGCCGTCGAAGCCGACATCCTCAGGCCGCAGCTGCAGCAGGGGGGGCCACTCGTGCTGCTGTGGGCTGGCCGCCCAGGGATAGGTGTCCATCACCCACTTGGCAGGGTCCTCCCAGGGCGCCCGCCTTCCATAGAGCTGAAAGGAGGCAAAGAAGGCAGAGTTAGGAAGGGGCCGAGACTGCTTCTGCAGCCCTGATTTTGCAGCTCTCCGAAAAATTCCCCAACCCAGCACGATGCTCCCCCAACACTGCAACTGCACTTCCAGAACGCCGTCCTGAGGAAGTCAACCAAGGAACTCGTCTAGCCTGACGTGCTAAGACTGAAGGCAGCATGACTCGGGTCCGGAATGCCAGCCCTGGAGTCAGGCTGACCTGGGCTCACACCTCGGCTCTGCCACCAACTCACTGGGTTACTCGCCAACTCGGAGCCTCACCGATCCAATGTGAGGAGTGGTCTCCGGGGGAAAACCCACCACGTGGTCTGAAGCGTCTGCCAACTCCGCTGGGATAAACAGCTCCACAGCGGCCAGTTTCAAACTGCTGACACACTGTCACTGCACACGGAGCCGGACGGAGGTGCTAAGAGCGCACGGGGCAGCCCTGCCTGCTGGCTGCGTGCACCTGCCCGAAGAACTCCTCCCCCAGGATCGGGGGCCAGCCACCGACACCACAGCAGAGGCCACAGAGTTTTGGTAAAACCTCATTTCCTGAAGAGAGTCTGACTCTCTGAGTCCCCTGTGAAGGCGCTGGTCACTTTCAAATCGGCCACCTCTAATCGGTTGGTGCTTCTTCCCCATAGAGTTCCCAAAATTGTCCGTAGTAACTAAAAACAGAAAACTGTAGTATCACTTCATTTTTTAAGACTGCTACCAGGCCTCCATGCTCCTTCACTTAAGCCTTAGTCATAAAAGGATGTTAGTAACTTTAACAGGCAGTTTCAAAAAGAACAAGGACCCAGGCTGCCCACGTCCCGAGGTGAGCCTCTGGACACGAGGGAGCTAAGTGTGGTCCGTACCTTCCTCTCCACCACTCCCGCCACCGTCTTGGTTGACCATGATGTGCCCCAGGGTGAAGAATTACTACCCGAGCTTGCCAAACTCAGGGACGGGCTCAGGGAGGAAAGGGGGCAGAACGCGCCTTCAAGTCTGTCCAACGCCACGCGCCACTGCAGTCTGAGCAGGTGCAGGAGGGCGTGCCCACGGCCAGGACGAGATGCCCCCGCCCTGGGCAGTGCTGCATGAGGCTCTGGAGGGCACCCCTTTTGCCGGGGGCCAGGGGGTACAAAGACTCCCGAACCACAGCGGCTGCAGTGCGGGCTCTAGAGTAGGACCACGCCAGGACCATGGCCTGTCTGTCTGTCCATCTGCTCCCTCTGCCCTCGCAGAACTCCTACCGTTGACGGGAGAGAGGCCGAGGTGCCGACAATAGAGCGGACCTGAGCTCTTACTGACAAAAGCACATCTTTCCAAGTCACAGGCGGCCTCAGCTGGAAAGAACTGGGGTCACTCAAGTCTCCCCCATTACTTACCAGATGAGGAAACTGGGGCCTAAGGAGGAGCCAGTTGGGAAAGGCTATGAAGGACACCTGAATTCAGACCCGGGACCCCAGCCTCCTCGTCTGGGCCTTTCCCCTCTGCAGCCGCCTCCTGACTGCCTACGCCACCTCTGACCTGTGTGCGTGAGTTCCGTCAGGGAAGCTGCCCGCCCTGCAGACGGGCCCAGGCATCTCCCTTCAGTGGTGGCTGCCTCCTCCTCCACTCAAGACAGACACGGCCTCCTATGACCTCACTGTTTTCTCAGACAGGAGCACTGCCCCCCACCAGCCCCCGCCATCTAGCACCCTGGCCCCGTGTGCTGCTAAGCCTTCCTTAACCTGGGGCAGTGCTGAGTCTAGACTGGATTATGTGAAGGCGGCGTGTGCATGTGCACACATGTGTGCATCAGGGAGAGAGGCGGTATGGATGTTTGGGGATATTTACAGTGGAAGAAGGCTGTTCCACTGTTCCACATTAGGAACATTCCTGTAGTTTTTAGAAGTGTCTCCCTCCAACAGCCTTCCCTCTGCAACTGGCTTGCTCTTCCCAAGCCAGACTTCACACAGGGGAGGCTGTACTAAGGCCCATGCCTGACAGCTACTGTTTCTGTCTCCATCCGCCAGCCTGGAGGGGACAGTCAGGGTTGCAAGCTAAGGCAGGCTGGAACCCAGAGATCATCGAGTCTTTACACAGAATCTTGCCCAGTGGCTTTCAAATATGTGATAGAGCATCCTACACGCCTCCCCTCCCCTCTGCCAGGGGGACAGAGGTCCTTCAAATTATTCTGTAGACTAGACACTTTGGCAAGTGCTTGCGACAACAGCTCCAAAGGGGAACAGGGCTGAGGGCTGATTCATCAGACAAATGTGCAGCAGGCAAATGCTAACACCATCTGCAAGAGCAGGAAATATTTTTACAAGCCTCCGTACTTGCTGCTGGCCATGTTCAAGTCTAGGTGATGAATAGCTGGGTGAGTACCATGGCAAGTAAAAGAAATATTATGAATCTCGTTGGCCCCAGCGCAGAGCCCTGTGGCAGCTCTAAGCAGCAGCAGAGACAGTTGGATAGACAGACAGACAAATAGGACATCCATGCATACCACAGCAGAGAGGAGCCTGGCATTCCCACTGGGTCAGGAGCAGGGAGCCAACACATTAGCAACTAACACCTGGGCCACCATGAGCCTCTGCCTCTGTGGGATGCACGTGTGTAGCACACACGAGGAACCAAGACACATTCAGGAAGAGCCTCTAGGCAGCTACACCCCCACCTGCCACACATACTCTTGGGAAAAGACTCTGCAGTCAAAACTTGCAAAGACATCTGGTATCCACTAGGGGGCGCTGCCACAATTCTTCCAGAAAGGATGGTGTCTGGTGGAGGGGCTGTCTTGGGAGTCCCTGATAGGCCTGATCTCAGCAGGGTCTCTCTGTGGCCCCAACCTCTTCTGAACTTACAAACTCGGCCAAGGGCTTGCCTCCTTCCTGCCACAGGGCGCTGCCTCAATGCCCACTCTACTCACCCAGCAGGGCTGGGTGAGGAGTAAACGGCCCCACATGGTGCTCTGCACACAGTGAGCATAGAATCAAGGTGATGTGAGGAGAGTAGGGCATTTTAAACTTTTTTTAAAAGAAAAGAATCCTTTTATCAAATAAAATCTGATGTAGAGCTCTGCTACATGAACCACAATACCTGGTTCCCTGAACCACCCGAGATTTCTGGGTGCAGTTATTTTATGGGGTTCCCTTAGGGCCACCAGAAGTCACCATGGTGTCAGCTGGCCTGGGCTCCCCCACTGGCTCATCACATCCCAGTGAGTCAACGCGGGCACGGGCTGAAGCCGCTGTGGGCCTCGGTCTCCCTGTCTGTAAGGCGTGTTCCGAGTTGTGGAAACCACACGAGATCATGCAGGTCAGGCCCCCAGCTCAGTGCCTGGCGAGTAGCTGGCCCTCAGAAAACGTCAGCAAACTTTCCTACAAAACCAGAGGCTCAGGAAGAACACACTGGGTTTCCCGGGGACTCAGCAGATGCTGTGGCGTCTCCGGGTTCATCAGCGTGATGAGTCACAGGTTTGAGGCAGGGCGGCGCATTCCTGAGCAACCTGGTAAAACGCTAACTCCGGCTGCCAACCCTGGTTGCTCCCACACTCCCGAAAGACTGTTCTTCAAATCACCTCGCAGCACAAGGAGGAGATGACTCTTCCTGTCTCAAGCTGAACTAGCGAGTCTCAGGACATGGTGGCATGTCTCTGGTTTCTTGTCCTGTTCAAGTTCCTGTTGTCCTGAGGCCTCTGAAGACTATCAGCGCTGCCTGCACGCTACTGACGAAGCAGTCAAACATTCGTCAGGTTCGGTGAAACGTACAGTAGGGACAAACAGCCGCTGAGGTGGACGGCCACACACGTGAGTGAGGTGCACACCCCTCCACGACCTCCCCAGGCCTGTGACAGCATCTGTGTCTCCACTGCCTGGGACCGCGGGACCGAGGAGCCCTGACACCCCACTGCTCTCCTGGTTTCTGGGCGATTGACCTGCACGTGATGCCTGCTAATTACAAAGTGTGGGTGCCGGGAGCCTACAACTCCTCGGGCTGCCTCCGGGCTCAACAATAAAACTGTGAAAGCTCCGTTTACGGCGGAGCTCCTGCAGCTGGAGCCTGGGCTCAGGGAGGAGCGGCTGTGCGTTTCGGATGCTGCCGGGCTGAGAACCTGGAATTCGGGACAGAGGCCTGGACCCAAATCCCGGATTCTTCCAGGTTTATGTGTATGACCCTGAGCAAGTCACTTACTTTCTTTTGAGATATTACTTTTCTCTTTTGAAGGAGTTTCCAAGTTCCAGGATTAATGCAAGGCCTGAACCAAACAGCAGATATGAGAGTACTTCGTCAACAGTGAAGCGCCACACACACACACACACGTGCTCCACCACTTTGCTCTCACGGTGCCAGGCACGCTGCAGCCAGGGTTCAGCCTTGCAACGCTCCTCTGTGGCAGAGCACCGTTATTCTCCTTTCCTATCGGTGAGGGCACTGTGGCACCGAGAGGCCGAACGACTTGCCTGGGGTCACACAGCTAAGTGGCAGAGCCACAGGTACAGCCAAGGGTGCCTGCCCCCCCTACTCTGTGCTACACGGACAGCCTCACAGGTGAGGGGTTGTCACCTCGTGTCAGTAGGAATCTGAAGGAGAAGGTGAACTCAGCTCATCCGGTCACTGGTAACAGTCTCTCTCCACACTCTCCCCCCGCCCCCACCCCGGTGCTGAGCAGGCTGGCGGGTGGTCGTTCTCACCTGGAGTCCTTCTCTGACAGCTTCCAGGAGATAGGGGATAATTGAGTAGTTCCACAGGTCGGTGAACCACACCCTGGAGCCGTCCACGTCGATGGGGCAGGACAGGAAGAGCCGGGGGCCTGGGGGCCACAATGAAAACCAGTCAGAACTCAACTGGGGAGCAGGGTCAGGAGAAGCCACGGTCCCGGGTGTTCTGAGTGACAGCAGAAATTCCAGCTGCCGGGCGGTGGGCACAGAGCAGGACACTCGGCTCTACAACCCCGCCCTCGGACCTCTTGCCCAGGACATCACCCCCAAGGGAGGAAAGGCTTTCTGGAGAAAGACGTTCATTGTGGTGTTATTAATCCAAACCTTTGAAAATGCAAACATGAATGTCCAAGAGAACAGAAATGGTTAAGCGCATGTTCAATTATTTTTCAGCCTTTAGAAATAATTACAACACCGGAATGGCATCACAGAAAGCCCATGAGATAACGTGAGGTGAAAAATGAAAGAACACACTGTAGGTATATTATAATGGCAGCCGCATATAGTATTTATGTATGAACAAGGACAAAAAAAAAGCTCAAATTAAAATACTTATGTCCGAGTGGAGGGGTGATCAATGACCCTTTTGTCCTCTGTTCTAAATCTTTAGACTTCAGGAATGTCGGTGACATTTCATTCTATTTTCAAAGCACAGCATGTCCCACTCAGTGGGTGGCTTTCACCTGGGGGAGCCTTGGCGTGGGCGAGTCACTGGGCCAGGTGGTTCCCGCATCCACCCAGGCCGGGTGCATCTCACTGCTGATCAGCCCAGCACAATGGGCAGGGTGAGAGGGCAGAGACACAGCACCGGGACATGGGGCAGGGGGTCTGGGGTCTGTCTTGTCCCTCTGCCTCCTTCTCTAACCACGTGAACAGCACAGAGTCCAGCTGCCTGGAGCCTGCAAAGCGCTGTCCCAGCCAGGGCCTCAGAACAGACTTGAGGAGGCCCGAGCCCAGGACCTCCCGCTAGCCAGCCCGCCCACCTACTCCCGCCTGGCTTCCCACCTACCTATGGTGACGTCCGAGGAGCTGTGAGCCTCCAGGAAGCGGTTGAGGTGATGCCAGACCTTGGGAATCCAGTCGATGATTTTTACCAGCTCCACGTTCCGCACCCGCCCACTGATCTCCATCTCCATGAGCTTCCGCCTCAGGAAGCGGCCAAGGAAGCCCTTCACGGGCTCCGTGTGGTTGGCGCACAGCACCCACCTGGGGGAGGCCAGGAATGCTTTTCCGTGACTATGGCGGTGATGAAAACAAGCACGAACCTCAAGATTCAGAGCACCTTAGAACTAGAAGGATGGTGTATAAGCTAATACTAAAATAGGACTCACTGTGCAAAACACCACACGTACGCTAACTCACGACTACTCATGGCAGCCCTCTGACATATACACCATCCCCACCCCCATTTTACAGACAGAAATGCTAAGGCACAGACAGACAGGTTACGCAACTTGTCCGAGATCAAACGACAATTTAATAGAAGAGCTAAGACTAGAACCGAGACGGCGCAGCTCCGAAGTCCGAGCTCTAACCACCGAGCTCGCTGTTCCCGTGTCAGGTCCTGTGCTAGACTGTGGAGCAGCAACAACCACCGAGACACTTTTGTCCCAGTTCCCCAGGGTCTCTCAGTCTTGTGGAGGGAGCAGATAAGCAAATAAAGAAGTGAGACGTGGTAAAACCCGGGAATCAGGGAAGCGGTTGCCGGGGATGAGCCTGGAAGAGTGGGTGGAGCAGCCGCACAGGGAAGGGCAGGAGCGGGGGGAGGGGTGCGGGGTGGGGAGCTTGCTGTAGGGGTTGCCGGGACATGGGAAACAGCGTGGGGTGTTTGGGGAAACTGTCAGAGGTCCAGTGCAACCAGGCTTCACACCTGCCCTGCGGACCCGAGGAGTCTGGATTCTATTCTGCAGGGGGAACCACTGAAGGACATTAAGCCTGGGGTCTATGGTCAGATGTGAATTCCAGGATGCTCACACCAGCTTCCACTGGCCCAGAGGATGCGGGCAGGCCTCCTGGTTAGGAAGTGGGTGCAGTAGCCCCTGGGAGATGATGTGGCAGTGACGGGGGAAGGTGGAGGACCTGAGGCACATTTAGGAGAAAGCCTGGATGAGACGAAGCCACCTGGATGCGGGTGAGCTGTGGTCTCTGTGGCCTGGAGGAGCTCACATTCCCCGATCATGGATCATGACAATCTAGGCCCACTGTCCCAGATGTCCCTCAGAGAAGCCTACAGAGCGGCCAGTGAAAATGAGCCAGGGGTCCCACCCAGAACGGGGCTTCTCAGGCTCCACTAAGGGCTTGGCAGGAGGGGAGGGAGCGGTGGGGTCAGCTGGGGGGCAAAGAGCAGTTAGTGATGTCAGGCAAGCCAGAAGCACACTCAGGTATGGCCGAGTTGGGCAGTCCTTCCCACAGCCCAGCAGGGGGACCCCAAGTGGCGTTGGGGCAAAGGGACACACAGCAGCTGGAACTCAGAGGCCCACAGACTCAGCTCTGAGGGGACTTTCAGAGGCAACAGCTTTCACTGATCCCGGTCACGTGGGCCACTGGTGATGCGCAGGGCAGGCAAGCATGCCCATGGCCCCTGCCCGGAGCCACCTCCCGGACTCCACTACCCCAGGACTTGGAGTCGGAGACCCAGGTTCCAGTCTCAGCTCTTCCACTGACCAGCTGCGTGAACGCACACGAGGCATTTAACTCTCCCAGCCGCAGTCTCCCTACTCGTAGCCTGAGACTGAGAATGTAGCTACGGAGGCTGTGACGAGACACAAGAGTGAAGCTGGGAAAAATGCTCAACGAGATGCCTGGCACAGAAGAGGTACTCAGAAGGTGGCCCCTTACCTGAAGTTGTGGTGAAGCTGCAGGTTGGGAGTAGACGAGGTAGCCTGGTTCATTGTGCCAATGATGTAAGGGCTGCGGGGGCGGGAAGGAGGAGGGGGCTTTGTGAGTCAAAGCCAAGCTTGAGGACCGGGCGCTCGCAGGGGCCTGCAGAGTCTGTGTCTGGGCAGATGGCCGGCTGCCTCCCCTGCCCCCCGCACCGACCCTGACCACACACGTGCCCAGACACCTGAGCAGCACACATCACGTGTGCTCACTCTCCCAGGGACCGCGAGGCCCGGGGCCGGCCTTTACCATTTATGGTCCTTGCAGTTGAGCAGCCCGTTGAAGATCTCGCCCAGAGAGCTGACGTGATGCAGGTTGTCCAGGATGATGACGAGAGGCATGTCCGCAGCGTTGTTCTCGCTGGCACACTGGTCCGCAAGGTTGGACAGGTATTGGCGCAATTCCTGCAAAGCCCGGGGGAAGAACAAGGGTGAGTGCACTCAGTGCAGATGCACTCGCTCAGAGCCGTCCCTTCGCCCAGGCCAACAGAGCGGGACAGGCTCTCACAGGCCGAGTGCCTGCCACTGCAGAGGGTCACCTTGGGGGATGGGGCAGATGGGGGGGGGAAGGCCTGGGCCCCACCTTCTGATGCTCACCAGGTAACAGGAAATCTCAGCCCAGGGCAGGAGCGCAGCACCACCGAGGGTGCCCAGCCTGTTTCTATGTTCCTGCCCCACCACTTCTCTGGAAGCGTTGTCATTTTTCTTGGCTATTTATTATGCCAGCCTCCCAGGAAGCTCCCAGGGGCAGCTGCCTTACTCGCCTCTGTATAAGCTATGGAGTCCTATACAAGGTGCTCTTCCGCACACCTGCCATTTTTACAGGAGCCCTCAATGAGTGATAAAGCAGAGCCCCCTCCACACACACACACCTGAGAACCGCTGGTCGGCGCTGGGGCAAGTAGCCAGCAACAGCGCAAAGGAGACAGTCTGCATGTACAAGGGCCTGGGGAGGCCTGGTTTAAAGGGTAAGCTTTGGACGGAACTGAAGAACGGCTGGGGCTCTGGCAGGCACTGGGGCCAGAACACAGCCCAGCTGGGTGAAGGCCTGTGCAGCAGGGAAGGAAGAGGAAGACTAGTGGTGCGGGGGGTCAGAGGCTAAAATGCTGAGTAAGGGACCAGCCAGAGGACCCAGGGTGACTGCCTGGTAACATCACCACCATCGTGACAGGTGGTACGACCTAGAGCCTGCCTGGCACAGCTCCAGCACCTGCCACAGATTCTGTGGCCCACAGCAACCCTTTGTGGTGGGTACTGCGATTAGCTCCCTTTTAAAGAGAGGGAAGCTGAGGCACTGCCCAGTCAGGCAACTGGCCTCAGGCTGTCCAGAGGACAGGCGGGGCTGGAGTCAGACTCAGGGCGTGTTCAGTGTGCTCCCGACACCGGACTGTCCGGCATGCGAGCTACGTCCTCACCCCCACCCCGCAAACCCAGGTCTTTCCTGTAAGTCAAAATGCAGCTTGTGAGCAATAGAGAAAGCCCAACTATTTAAGTTACTAGTGATTTTTCCTTCTTTTAGCCCCTTTCCAACTGGGTTCTTGGCCTCGGCGTTGTAAGGACAGAGCTCCTGGGACTAGCTCCCTTACTGTCTTCGGGGTGAGGCTGGGGAGCTGTCCCCTGTGCCGGGGCACGAGGCGCCCCACCAAGGGGCCCTGGAGAGAAGGCCCTCCCTCGGCTCACGCACACGGAGGCTCTCGATGTGGGGGCTCGGACCACTTCTCTCCAGTCCTGTCCCCACATCACAGTCGCTGGGGAAGCTTGTGAATGGCACCCATTCCCCACCCACACAACCTACAAGACAGGTCGTCTGGGAATGAGCTGTAGGAATCCCCGCCATTCCCGATTCACCACTGACTCTCCGATCCCTATGCAGGGGGCACCCAGGGGCATTGCCCACGAGCTCCACTGTGCGAATGACAAACAGGTGTGAGAAACCCTTCCCAACCCTGAGCTGGGCCAACAGCTGGGCCTACAGATGCTCCCTGTGAAGCAGGGTCAAGCCTATGTGCTGGCTCCAGAGTCCCAGGCTTCGACTGGAGCCCGAGTCCACTTCCCAGTTCCATCTGAGTGGCCTCAGACACGTGACCACCTGCCTCCGGCCTCAATTTCCCCCTCTGTGAAACGGAGATAGCAGCGACAATTCCCTGAATGGTGAATCGCTTCGAGGGGGCCGGTCGGCTGTCATGGGGCAAGCAGTGTGTCAATGTGAGCTGTTGTCATTTGCGTCAAAAAAAATGTTTCCTTTGGGAAAAACAATAGCACTGCCAGGCACATGATAAATCATTGATAAACTGAAGGGGATGCATGTGGGGTGATCTAAAGAGCTATGCACATGCGAATTGGTGGGGAAGTAAGAAATGAACTGGATTGACTTACAGTGGGAAGTTCAGGGACAAAGCCTTGCTTCCTGCTAGCCCCAGTCTGACCTTCCTCACAGGGCTTGTCTAACCCCCCCAAGGTGAGCATGTAGAAAATGCTGCTTCACCAACAGTTCTGAAAGGGTCAGAAAGTGACCCGTGGCTGGGCAGCAGCCTCTGAAAGAACTCCTCCTCACCTTGCTGGACTTGTGGTCCACGTTGAAGGTGGCGATGACCCCGTCTGTCAGCTCCCGTCCCTCCCGAAGCACCAGGTACTCTGACAGCCTGTTGGCCAGGTAGGTTTTCCCGGTGCCGCTGGGGCCGGAGAGAATGATCCGCCGGTGTTCCACCAGCAGGGAGACGTAGCGCTGCAGGATGGGCTTGGGGATCAGAGACTCGAACACCAGCGCGTCCAGGCTGTTTTCTGCGAGCCCTGTGTTTGAGAGATAGAACATGTGAAGCCCTGTAGAAAGACGAGTTCTGTGCTTGCCCAGCTGGGACTGCTATGACCGGAGCCCAGCCCTTTCCCAGGCAGCGCGCTCGCCCGAGGCCCCCGGTGCACACACGGGAGCTGTGAGCAAACCGCCGCTGCTTCCTGCTCCGGCCTGGCTGACTTTCACATACAAGCCCTGGGTCCACACCTGTCCTCTGCACAGTTCCTAAAACTCTGGGCTCTGCTCGTCTGTCTGGCTTTGCCATACCGGCAGCGTTTGCCCAAACCAAACCCCAGTCTCCCATGCCTGCCAGCACCCGAGGGTTCCTTCCTCACCTGTTCTCTCCTGTGTGCCCAGTGCCACTGCTTCCCACGCTCACACACGCCATGAAGGTAATGACAAATGCGAAGCAAGGCCGTTTGACGGGGGTGTGAATCCTGGCACATCCAGGCTGAAATGCTGCCTCCCTCTCGGACTCAACAACATCAAGAGGAAACTCATCTCCCCCTTTTCCTCCCTGGGACTCCATTAATCAGGCTGCTGGCTTTAACGGAGCTAGGTTCTTGATAGCATGTCCAAGAGAAGATGTGTGCAAGTTCTTGTTCAAAAACCTAAGGTAATTCTGTTAAAAACTCACCTCAAGAAAGCTAGTATATGCTGATAAAAAAATAAACTGAAGAACATTTATTGTTTTAAAAATTGCATCGTCCACATAATACTGCAGACAGACTCCCATAACGCATTTATATGCTTGTTTCTAATCCTGCCCCAACCAAGAAGAGCCGCTAAATACAGACACTGTTCCAGAGTGACCACAGCAAACGTTCTGAAATGACTCACATTCTAGGCATGGGCCTGAGACTTTCCGGTATTGAGTTCAATACAGACCATGCTGGCTCAAACCTTGATGCAAAGCATGGAGCGCAGGGTCACTACTCTAAACTAACGACATCAGGAGAAAAGCACTAGAACGTTTCTCTATGCACACGTGTTGCTGCTTCAGTTGTTTGTTACACCCCAGCCCCGGAGTGACTGTTTTGCAGACAAACTCACTTGAGAGGCCAAGTCACCCCGCCTGCCCCTGTCCCAGTACCACTGAAGTAAACCATCTTGCAGCTCACAAACCTTCCAGCTTAAACCCTTGAGTGGTTTTTAGTGCCTTGAGGGTGTATATTTCAAGTACTTTGGGAACATGGGAGAGTTGGGTATCAGAAAACAAGAAACCTAGGCTGGTCCCTGGAGATGTTAAGACAAGACGAGGAGCCGGCAGCAGCAACAGACGGGGCCCCGTGGTGGGAGGCATGTTCCACCGGGGCCAACGGTCCGTCACTGTTTCTGCAGAGGTCTGGTCTGGTCTCAGCGACGGTCACTCCTTCTACCCCCAGTGTTTGCAGTGCTTCCCTGCAAGTGACAACATGCGCTCGCCGGCAGGGACAAAACAACTGGAGCCCGTAACCTCTGAGGCTTTTCCTGAGCAGGTACACGTAGCGGGCTGTTTTGGTGTCCCTGGTACCCTTTCCACCTTCGCTTCACAGGACGCTTTCTTCTCGTGGGAGCTCACTCCAGGTGGTTTACATATGGCTCGCCCAGCACCTTCATCCGCCTCAGGTGAGGGCTCAGGACCGCGCCGAACCCAAGCCTCTCCTTGGTCACGGTGACTGGTGGAGCAACATGTTTTGATTCATGGCAGGTGGCAGAACCACCACAGAGAATTTCCTCACACTCTTCCAGAAAGACGATCTCTTTCTTTTAGGTTCCTAGTGCTTAGAAAGGTGAACCGGGGCCACCACGGCCATTTCATGTGCAGGGAGCTCAGGAAAGAAGAGCAGCCGGAGGAGGCTTGGTCCGGAAGGCGCTGGTATGGCCCCTGAATCCTGCTGTGTTTGATACCAAACCTAGACCTTGGCACGTCTCTGTCATTGGCAGCCCAAGGCCATAACTGTGAAATGTCGCTTGCCAACGAGGTCAGGCTATGTGTGAGGCTGCAGCAGCAGCTCCCTGCTTGTCACCAGCATCTACTGCTTGTCACCAGGCGGGATCCGGGTTCCTGCTGATTTGGAACCCAGACTGCAGTTCTCCTGGAAAACTGATTGGGAAATAACTCTTGCATTGGACGCCCCCAAGACTGCATGGCTAAAACTACAGTCCAGATCAGGGCCGTCTAGGGCAGTAAGGAACAGGGCAACCCTCGGGTTGCACCCAGTACAGTGTGTACCGGCCAGTTCTTTAGGTGGTTCATAAACTGCAGGAAAGGGGGGTCTGTAGTCCGATGGGTTTGTGTCAGCCTGGATTGAACAGCCTTCTGCAGGGCCAGAGTGAGAACGTTAAAGGGTGGAGCCTGCAGTGTATCAGTGCCGTCCTGTGTCGCTGCTCCCCAAACCCAAATGGGGATAATGAGGCAGTTTCCCAGACTTATTTTGCCACAAAATCCTTTTCCCCCCACAGAGTGCTCTGTGGGCATGGAGTTCAACAGAATACACTGTGGCCTGGAGCTCAGCGTCTTCGGGTGAGGAGGCCTTGGAGGCTCCGGCGGGTTCACTGGGGGCCCAGAGCGACGCCTCTCTCGCCCGCAGCGGACCGTGGTTCCCCATCTGCAGAGCGGGGCCCCGTCCAAGGCCTGCTGGCAAGAATGAGCCACTGGCTTCGATGGAGCCCATTTGCACAAGGTTATTAAGATTCCACCATCTCAGGGTCATCAGGCTGATGGGGCGGTTTGTTATAATTTCCTCAGTAGTGATTTGTTTCTGAAGGTGGTGGAGAAGGCTGAAGATGGTCTAACTTGATTAGGTAAGAATAACTGCGGACAGAGGGGGCAAGAAAACCACCACCCACATCCATGTGCACAAACAAAACTGTGGCCACAGTACGCTCAGCCAAGTCACAACATAAACGCAGCTCCTGAAAGCCCCTCCTCGCAGTCTGCGAGTTACCTTTGACAGTCACAGAGATGGTGGTGTTCTCTCCCACCAGGTAGCCGCAGGGCAGGAGCTCGGGCGTCTCGGAGGTGTTGCTGCGCTGGACTTCCCCGATGCTGTAGCCGAGAACACTATCCGAATTGAGCCCCAGCTGGCTCACTGGGTCGACGTGAATGATGTATTCCTGGAAAAAATAAAATGAAGACGCCATCAAAGATGTGGCTAGAAATCTGCCCATGACTCATGTGTTCACTGAGTGATTTACAATCATCTCCTCTCAGCTGCAGCCTGAGCTGAAATCGAGCTGAGGAACGAGGGGGGAAGAACTGACGTTCTTCCATGGGGAAGGTGCCTCGTGGTCACAGGCTCCTTAACACACAGATTTACTTGGTTAGTGGTGTGTGTGTGGTGTAGCTTTTGGGGGTGGGCAGGGGCTGGGGAGGAACTCTAACAAGATTGTGAACGTTTAGTCTGGGTCAACCGAGCAGGGAAAAGCTAGGCAGCTTTTCCCGAGTTCAGCTGAAGTGTTGGAGACATGGGGACCTGTGAATGGTGCTGGAAAATTCATGAGAAAGTAATTCTGGTAAGAGATCTCTGCACCGGCCCTTCTTTGACCTCAGAGCAAAGGCCATGCTGACGACAAAGGGAAAGACCCAGGGCTGCTGCAGGAAAGCAGCTCCCGGAGCTTTAAACAGGAAAACGTGTTCCAAATTTGGGAAGAGTTCCCTCTTTATGTCAGTGAACTTGGAACGAAGGGCCATGGGCTATGAGGTAGCCAGACAAAGGTCAAGGTGGAACCCGAATAACAGACCTCTACCACCTTTAATGCTCCCATCTCCTCACATGGGACCACCCACAGGTTCTTCCCAGCCCAACCGCTGTCTCTAATCCAAGGAGGTCCGACTGCCCAGCAGCAGAGATAAGGTTTCAGCCGGAGCAGCAGGGGCGGTCTGCCCATAGCCCTGAACGTCACCTGCCTACCCGCATGTCTACAGGTGGCCTGTGAAGACGATGAGTGATCTCTGGTCAGAGAACAGAATGTCCTGTGTGACGTCGCCTGAATCCAGATGCTGGAAGAGACTGGAGTGTACTAGTTAAGTCACAAGTCAGGCCAATTCAACTAGACCAACACGGTCTGGTTTCAGATTCCTGATTTTGGGGTAAGTGACCCAATATGAGGCCTTACCTTCTTCACCTTTCAATGGGAAAACAATAGAACCTTCCTCACAGGCCCAACAATAAACTTGGAGTCAGGTGAAGCGCAAAAAACATGGGCCATCAGTACTGCTCAGGGGTATGATTAACGAACACCTATGGCTGCGGACTCACTTCAGGACAATAGAAAGAAGGGCTCCGGAAGCTTCCTTGAAGCCGCCTTGCATTTCAAGGCTCACTGCAGCGCTCATTAGTTACTTCTCCTGTAGCAAACCCCACTCCAGTGAAGTAATTAGAACAAACACAAAAATAACTATGCCAACATCCTCGACACTGGCCACTGGCCAGATGTGTGACCTGTAGCACAAATGACAGAATGGAGCGCTGGCCAGGACGTGGGCACGTCCATCAAACCCTCGAAATAAAGAATGGCAATCTGATGTTGCAGCCCCAGCCAAGGGGCACAATGCATACTCCAAAGCAGAGGCAACTGTGCGTGATTCCGAGGTGAAGGCAGAATGTGGGTGTGAGCAGTTCACTGTCGGACCTTCCTAAGATGGCTCGATGCTGGAGAAAGGACTCACTGGCTCACCAGCCACGGGCAGCTGGGAACAGTGTGGCCAATCAGTGGTCTGCACTTAACATCCCTCTTCTGATCATCTGAGTGCCAGGGCACAAGTCCCAGCAACGTAAGGAGTGGGAGAGGGGACAGGCCTGCGAGATGACGGGTTCCGGACACACACCACCCTCCCCTCCCTCAGCCCACGCCCCTGCTTCAGGTGGACTGGCCCGACCGTCTCCTCAAAACACTTACTTTGAACAGCCGTCTAACCACCCCATCGAGCACGTCCCACTTGGTCTTGCCACTAACTCCAATGCAGCCAATAAGGAAGAGGTGTGGTCTGGAATCCTAAGGGTAAGGAAATGCATGCAGGTAAAAAACAGGTGGATCTTTTCCGACCCAGCTTAGCAAGGACTTAGATTGTCCCAGCATGTCACCAGTGGCTTGACAGGGGAATAAAAGTGCTATTTGTTTCAATATCAGATATAACTTAGACTGAATGCAGCAGTCTTAAAAACTTTCTCTGCGCCGCTGCTAAAACAGCAATCTGTGAGATAGGAAGTGAGAATCTCCTTTCTGGAATCTAGAACCTTCCACTAAGTGCATACCTCGTACAGTGCACAGATCATATCCCTTACCTGGAATGCTCTGCCCTCTCCTGTCTGCCATTTAGTCTTTTCCAAACCACTTACAAACTCACCTCTTCCAGGAAGGCTTCAATGATTAACTCACCAGGCTCAGAGCTCACGTTGCCAGATGGTTCTGTGCACAACTTACATAATGACATATTCTCTGTTGTTTATTTTTAGGTATGTGTCTTATTTGTACATTGTCTTCTTGTTAGATCTTAAACTCCTTCAGGATAGAAGATGTTTCTATTTTTTTCTTTCTTAAAATAACATTTATTGCTTTTCTTCTCATTTAAAGTTAAAACACGCTCACTTAAGAACCTCATAAAACTCTGGGAATTTTACAGAAAAGTAATCTTTTTTATCTCTGCTCACAGGGCTCTGCACAGTGGGCTCACTAATTAAACTGATTAAAGAGAAGCGAACAGGACGTTCCATTCTGTTGGAATGGAATGGGTTTTAAAGTATCTGACATGCTCATAGGGACACAGACTTAGGCACGTGGTGGGGGGCTGGGAGGGAGCGTCAGGCAGTCGGGCGAAACCGGCAGAGGAAAGAGCGGCAGTCTGCAGTGGGACAAGGGGGCCGTACCGCTTGCTTGGTAACTTCGAGTGAGCGAAGTTCAGGGCTTTGGTTTCTCAATTGTACAATGGAGATAATACCAACCGGTCAACCAACCTCATCTGGATTCTGTGGTGATTCAGAACCTTCCCGTTTTTAAAAAGTGACTCCTAAACTTTTGTAAAATGTCTGTTCATGCTGGTAGTCGCCGGAATAAAACATGCTCACAGGCATCACCTGCGTTCACTGTAAGAGTGAATGCCCCTCCGATGGGCCACTGCTCTACCAGCCAGGCCCTGAAAGTGCAGCTCCTTGTCCGGTCTTCCTGGCAGGAATAAAATTCTGGGCCCAGCCCCTTCGGTGAGACTGGAGAGCCAGCCACAGGGTGCAAACCCTGGCAAGACGGGTCTGCCGCACACACTTTGTGTTGGTGGGTACTAGGGGCTCCCTAGCTCTCGGAGGCTGCAACAGCCATGTTGGCTGGAATGCTGAGGACAAACAAAAAACTGAAAGGGACCTCACAGGGACTGATGAAGCCTTGTCCCACTTATTGGTAAGATGAGATGGTCCTTCACAGCATCATTTGGGTTTAATCAATGACTGAAAACCAACTTTGATGTTCAATACCTACTTCTACCTCTAAATAGTTCCTGCTGGCGCTATGGCCTCTGAGATTCTGGAAGAGAACAGAAACTGCTCGGAAAACTCAGGTTCCCCTCCCCAGCCTTGGCGAGCCAGGGCGTCCCACCGGTTTCCCTTCAAGCCAAGTGCGTGCTGCCTGGACTTGGCCACCTCAGCCCCTCAGTGTCTTCTCCACGGGCAGCCTCTGGCAGCTGGATACACTGGTGCTTATTTCGGAACCTTGTGTATTGTACTGAATGCACTTAGCTGCCTTGGATGTGCTTTGGGCGCACATTAAACTTAGAAAAGCCACTGCCGGGTGACGTCAGCGTGTAAGTGAACGCAGGGCCATGTTTACGACTCTTCATTAGACTTTCCAAACACGGGAGAGAGGGAGGGGCTAGTTGCTCCCTTTAACCGTGCCGAAATGCTGCTGGGGATTACTGTGAGTTAAGGAACACTTTAGGAGTATTTCCACCTCGCTTTAGGCACCAAGGTTATAGATACAGGATTCGATGAAGAAATCACTAAGCTAGGTCGTTCTACCTGGGGAAGGGACAGGCAGAGCAGGGCAAGGGGTCCAACTAACCTCCTTCCACTTCATTTCCTCCTGAAAGCTGACAACTATCTTAACATGCCTGCCTCCTTCCTTCCGAGCCGAGCATTCACCAGTGTCATCCAGCAACATGTCTGCGAATGGAAAACATCAACAGCCTTAGGCACATGGGAAAGCAAAGCCGGCTTCCTGACACCCCCGCTGCCCGTTGGCGCAGCAGCGGGACAAACCAGGTGTCGGGGTGCGGGGGAGAGGGGGTGGCCGGGCGGGGAGAGGGCAGAATGGAGAACAAAACCACAGAAACCAACAGTGGACCAACCAAGGAACCAGCAGGCTGACGATGTACCTTGCCAAATGGAAGTGCGAGGGAGAGACTCAACCAAAATAGCAACAGCAGCATCATGGATAAGAAATCAAAGCGTCAGCCTCGACACGCTTACAAAGGAAACCTAGACCACGTTCGCTTGCTACTGCGCCAGCCTGGAATCCAGCCTGGAGGCAGGAGGGTCCCTGACCAAGCCGTTGCCCCAGGTGGGCCCTGCTGCCGTGGGGTTTGGATGCAGCCTTCAGCTTGCAGGTCAGCCTCGTAAAATGGATCAAACAGAACTCAGCATGGTGGGCAAGGGGATCCGAGCTCATGGCCTGGAGAATTCGTGGTGCCGGAGCAAAGCATGACAGCGGTCTAACGGCCGGGCTCATGTCAGTAGCAGACACACACCCACACACACTCACACGCCCCAAGTGCACACACACCTGTTACTTCCCCATTTGATCTGCTCATCTGCTTATCTTGGGGCTCTGGCTCAGAGACCCAGCGCCAGCCGTGGGTACTGTCCCGCCCCCAGCCCCGTGCGGCCACTCACCCAGGCTGGTGGACTCGGTGAGGTTCAGGCTGTGCTGGGAGAGCCCCAAGGACTGCCTCGGGGAGGCGGAGAGGGACACCTGGGAGGGTGCCCGGCTGCAGCCACTGCCCTGGGACTCCGACTTTAGCCGGTCGTTCTCAGCTTTCAGCTTCTCTATTTCACTCTGTGCAGAGGAAGAGAGAAGCTCTGTTACTGGGTGGACATAACGTGAACGAGCCTTTTCTGGAGGAGGGATCCAGAAGCCCCCGAAGGGAGTCGGTGGGTAGCCCAGCGGAGGCGGGGCAAGTCACACCATTGGAGAGACGCAACGGTGTTTGCTGTCTGTGGTCTGTCTGGCAGGGGGTGGTCCACCCTTCCCAAGAGCTGGCCTTTGAAAGGGTCTCAGAAATGCTTCCCAGAGGCTAAGTGGCAAGTGAACGGGAGTCTCATCTAAGCGGACTGAGCAACCCCGGGTCTGCCGGGTTTCTTTACTGCAGGGCTTCTCGGACCCCTTCATGAGCTGCTGTGTGCTGTGAATCTGAGAGGGGCAGGGAGGGGGCAGCCTCCCCCAAACGTGTCTGACCAGGAAGCTGTTCTTTCAGAGTCTCTCACTGAAGGAGTGTTCCGCAGAAGCTCCTTTGGGAAATGCTGCTCTCAGGGAAGTCAAATTTAGAACTCACAGAAGTCTTTCATTCTACGAGTACTTATAAAGAACCTACTATGTGCTGAGTACTGGTGCTATATCCAGAGAAAGGAATGCAGAAAATAGCTCAGCAGACCCAAATGCCTTCAATCTAGGGCAGAGGGTTTGAGGGGCTGTAAGGACAGATCTGTAGAGATTCAGGTGAGGGCCCCAACTTCCAGCTGCAGGACTTGGAAAGGCTTCCCAGAGGAAGCAGCACGAGGCTGCGCCTTAAGGGAAGGGTCCTTGTAGATGTGCGGAAAGGCACCTGGGGGAGGAACACTATGGAACAGATTCCAGGGCATGTGAAGGGCACAGTCGGTGGCTCCTGCTGGCCAGTGAGAAGAGTCTGGAAAGTGGAAAAGAATCTGGAAAGCTGGGGTGGTGGAGGGGGATTAAGAGTGAAAAGGATCCTGTAGAAGGCCGGGTGAAGGAGCCTGCGACACATGCAAGGAGCAACAGCAGAGACACTGGAACTCTTGCATGAAGGAGGAACACGGTTACTCTACACTTTTAAAAGGCTGCTCTTTGGGTAGTATGGGGGAGGCCCTGACAAGAGAAAAAGGCTGGGAGAGCAGAGGGCTGCCACCAGGTTCGGGTGCAGCCTTGGGGTGTGGCAGGGAGCAGCCATCTACCTGCCAAGCCGTCCCCGGCCTGCCTTGGGCTTCTTCACCGGCACCCCGGGGCTCTCACCTGCATCCGGTTCATGGCCTCCCGGAGCTGGTCGAGCTGATGCGCAGAGCTCAGGGCTTCCAGGCGGATGTCCGTCAGCTTCATCTCCTTGTCTCTCAGCTCGTTCCGGAGCTGCATGACCGTCTCGGCCTCACTATCCATGCACTCTGAAATTCTGGGGAAAGGAATGTTACTGACAAAGGCAGCTCTGAGTTCATGTCCTTTCAGGCCTCCACTGACCAATGGTCCGTGTCCATCATCAGGTTTGTTCAGCAGCAACCCTGTATAACCAGCTGCCCCCTGCTTCCTGGAGGTGCTACTATCAAAAGCACCTGAAATTCACAGATTTTGTGGCTTTCTACACTCTACCTTTGTGGAGACCTGGCAATCGGGATGGTTTTGTTGTGAGCCTTTTAGCAGAACTCCAATAATCTAAGGATAAACAGAGCCAGAAAAGGGAGTAGTAACCTTGGGAGTCTGACCCCCCCATGCCTCCCACCGCCAATATGTACACAGCTGGGCCCCCGTAATGATACCACATGGCCCCTGGGATCTAAAACCACTCAGAGAAACGAGGTCAACTGTCTGTTTTAAAGATTAAATAGTCCAGGGTCAGGCAGCTGAGGGGGTGATTTTTATAGGCTGTAAAAAAGAAAACAACCTAAAGACGGGGTGGAAGGAGTTAGTCCTGTTAGTCACTAAAACCCACTCCCCTAAGTGTCTAGAGAGTGACGTTCTTTCATTCCCCTAACGTGAAAAACTGCTTAAAAGCTCATGGCAAGGAAGAGAAAGATCTCAGGTAGTTAAAGAGCAGAGCGGATGACCCGGCATGGAAGCCAAAGTTTGGGGTTTTTTAAATTGATTTTTTTTGGGGGGGAGGGAGAAAGAAACATTGATTTGTTGTTCCATTTATTTATGCATTCATTGGTTACTTCTTGTATGTGTCCTGACCGGGGATCGAACCTGCAACCTTGGCATAGTAGGACTATGCTGTAACTAACTGACCTACCCGGCCAGGGCAAGAAGCCAAAGTTCTATCTGAAACGTATGCAGCAGTGTGGCTGGTTGTCTTTCTTTCCCAGCTGTACTCCCGGAGCAAGGAGACAGTGGGACCCTGCTGAGTCCTTCTTTCTTACGAGGTGGTCCTTCTAGGCTGGGTTCCTGACCTGATTTGGTGGTGCTTGCTCTTCAGATACCTGGCAACTTAGCCCAGAGCGGAAGATCATAAAGGTCATGAGAAACTGTAATGTTAAATAGATGGTTCTACTAAAAACAAGTTCTGTTGATTTCTAAGATCACAGAATATGAAGTGAGGGGTGATCCAGAATAGAAAGTGTTGACTTTCTTGGACTAAAGGAAAAAAAAGAAGAAACAAGTGAAACAAACAACCCCAAGTTCATAAGGTTACAAAGCTGAAGCCGATTATCTCCAAAAGGCACGGAGAGTGTGTGGTTTCTGCAGAAATAATCACGCGACCCCGTTCTATAAAACCCAAGTGCTGGATGTGGGGCCAAGCAAAACCTGACTTGTAAGACTGGGTGGGGGTGTGGAAATGTTAATTGCCAAAGAAAAACCATTTATCATTGTTAAAAGACATGCAACTGTATTTCAGGGGCAGAATGGCGAGAAGAAAATTCAACACCTGAATGGCCAAATCTTTTTGTTGCTATTTTCTTGACCTACACCTAAACTATTTGAGTTGAGAGATACAGAGAGTAAAAACCTTCTCCTATTGTTAAGAGTTTTCAGCAGCCAAGGAAACCTCTCTGCTTCAAAACCTTCTGAAACCTCTAGGGGACTCCTGAAAAATGTAATTATTCCCATTTCATACCTCTGAAGAACTCAGGCCAACAGATTTGGGACTAAAAGGGCTAGAGAGACAGAAAGATCTTTAGAATTCAGATCACCCCTTTACCCCTTACCTCTGCTTTGAATAGCCAGGGTTTGTAAGGCTTAACTATGGTCATGCTTTTTTTTTTGTGTGTGTGTGTGGGAGTTTTGCAGGGGGAGCTTGGAAAAAACTGGTTCTTGAGAAGACTATAGTTTCCCGAATTAAATGGAGTATAAAGTCTGAACTCTATTCCAGTGTGACACTCTGGTCTTAGCGCAACCATGCCCCGCCCAGATCTGAAAGCTCCAATCCTCTGCAGAGAGCAGCTGGCCTCGATTCACACTGTGTCATTCAGGTCCGTCTGTGCCCCACCGCAAGGCACTTTGCTCCAGTACCTTTTCCCTAGAAATCTTTCTCAGCAAGGGACACACAGACTCCCCAGTACCCACCCACTTTGCGGAATATAGTGCATGGGTAACTCTGCAAAGCTTGGGCAATGATTCTACAAAGGGACTCAAACCAGAATGAAGCAAGTCTGTGCTAGGAGTAACTGCAGGAGGCCCTCCTGACTACCCCCGCCCCCTGCCACGTGGGCCAGGTCTCAGAAATAAACTGCCCCACAGGAGGGCTGCCCTGCAACGGAGATGATGTTGAAACAAGGCCTTCTGCAGCAGCTCCAAGAGTCAGCCCCTAACTCCACTGCCCACGGCAGACCCTTCCCCCTCGGTTCAATCCCACACTTGACTTCTGTGATGTCACTGATTCCAGGTCACGCCCTGCACTCAGCAGGCACTCAGAAGTTCACTTTATGGACTATTTACTAAAGCAACTACATGCGTATCTTTTCCATTCAGTCCCTAAAACGTTATTCCAGCACACTCCCGCCGCCTTGTCCAGAAGGCAGGGCTGGTGACATACCTAATTTTAAATGCCTCGGGTGTGGGAAACATTGCCTTCCCACAGCGCCATTCCTTTCGCCCACCGGGTGGGGCCTTTTCTAAGTCCAGACTCCTCTGTCTTTGGTTTCTCCTTTGAACTTTCTCTCACATGTAGGTTTGCACATTCTTACAAATGCTTCGAGGTTGGGAAGAGGCATTTGCTCTCTGCCCACCCTTTGGAAAAGTAAACCAAACACAAACTTTTCCACTGTGCATGGACCCTGTGGAATGTCCGGAAGGCACTGGAGAGCCAAGAGTCTGCCCCGCCCAACCCTGTGGGGAAAGTGGTTTGGAGGGAGAGGTCTCGAGATGGTCGCTGGAGCCCTGGATGGCCGAGTACATCATCGCTTCTCTCTTCATCCCACATGGCCAGCCACCCAGAGGACTGGGCCCGGTCCACATTCCTCCAAACAGGGTCTTCTCTCTGCTTCTGGGTTCCCTCCCACCTCCCTGGCTGCCCCACTGTCTCCTCCTCAAATAGCAGAATGTCCCAGAGCTCAGGCCTTGCCTCTCTGGCTCTCCTCTGTCTCCATTCAACCTCTGGGAGGACCCCTCTAGCTTCCCAGCTTTCAATACCAACGATAAGCCCACGTCTCCCAACTCTGTACCTCCACACACTCTAGGCTGGCTGGTGCCTCCATGTGAATGTCTCCTGGGCGCCTCAAATGTCACATTGTGCTTTCAACTTTTCTTCCAGAATATATCCCAAATCCACTCAGGACAACCGCCACTCACTCATTCCATTCAATATTTGAATGTCTGCAAAACCAACAGTAGCTACCTCCATGGAACTTAGACTGTATGTAGATTTTTGGGTGGTGGTGGTAGACAAAGAAAAATATACATGATTTCGATATTTGCAATGGTAATAAATGAAATGGGAGGGAGCAGAGGGGACGGTAGGGTGTGTGGGGCGGTGGAGGGGGTGTTGTTTTTTTGCATGATGCACAGGCAAAGCCTTACTAACTACGTAACACAGAGCAGGAACACCTGCAGGAATGAGTGTCTTGGGAAAAAGTGTTCCAGCAGAGGGCAAAGGCTAGAGGAGAGTTCAAAGAAAAGGAAGTGGGCCAGAGAAGGGTGGATGAGGGGGGTGACTGGCCTCACCTGTCACAGAATAACACAGAGCTCTGGGTGGGCACTGAGGTCCAGTCCTCAGTGCTCCTTTCCCAGCCCCTGCTCAGGTTTTACCCTCGCCTGTAATGCAAGTGCATGGCTCTGCGGCCACCCTCTTTCCAGGTGCTGCCCGAGGGAAGAGGAGCTACTAATCTAAGTGAAATGAAGGCCCCAGAAGGCCGTGCTTCACTGGTGGGTGGGGTCGCTAAAAAGTCAGGTGCTCTCTCTCCTCTTCCTCTTCCTGTCTTCCATGGGGTCTGTGCAGCTGGTGTGCTACAAAGACCTGGCCGATCCTCTCGCCCTCATTCCCTGCACCCACTGCGTAAGCTGGCCTTGGGACCCTTGTGTAGCTGTCGTCTTTAGCAGGCTGGTTGGCTGGGGGAGGGGACCTGGCCTCCTGAAATGAAGGAGGCCAGAAGAGGAGGAAGGAAGCCCTTCACACACGGTATCTGACTTGGCCCTCAGCAGACTTCAGTGAGGTAGATGTAATGAATCCCATTTCCACCAATGAGGAATCCGAGGTATCCACAGCCACCCCACTCCCTTGTCTCCCTCTGGCTCAGTGGCCATGAGAAGCCCAGGCACAGTGGCCCTCCCCTCCCAGGCGCTGTCTGCGGGATAACTGTCCTGGTCTCTAAAGGGAGTCAGCCTCAGGGGGCAGGGTCAATCTTTCCCACTGCTGTAGGAAGCCAGTCGTGCCACCTTCTAAAAGTTGACACCTGGGTCCTCACCAGGGTCTATCCCAAGCCATTCCCGACATGTCCTTGCCCTTAGAATCTGGGCCTTACGTAGTTAGAAGGGGCACAGGATGTTTTCAGATGGAGAATGACCAGCGGGTGCTCAGTGGGAATCGTGGGCGGCTGGCTGGGCAAGAGCAGATGACTCGCCCCGTCTACACAACCCGTCACCGAGGGGATCGGCGCCTGGGCCATCGCCAAGTAAGCAGACACGTGTCTCCCTTCACAGAACCAGCTGTGTTCCCAAAGAGCTCTGAACGAACGGACTCATTTTAAATTACTAGGGGAGTTCAGGGGGATGGGTCATATTACAAAATATAGACCGAATGGGAAAGAAAATTGCCACCAAATCTCTCCATTTTTGAAAACTTCCAATTTCTGTGTGTTCACCTCAGAGAATCAACACTGCATCACAATAAAAAAAAGAGGAGGGTAATCACTCTGAGCCTTGTCCCCCAAATGAGTCAGAACTTCAGCAAAAATAGCCAACTCTTACAACATCACCTCCACCTCACGGCAGGATGATCATAGTAGCTCTTTTATACCCATTTCTCTTGTTCAGTCCTTAGGATAAGTAGGCAACCGTTACCCCAATTTGACAAAGAAATGGAAACCAAGAGAGGTTAAGCCACCTGCCTGACACCAGCTTTTCAACTGATTAGCTACAGTGATAGGCCACCAGAACAAAAACCTAACTTTCTATTCCCTTTCCACCTCCCCAGTCCAAAAACACTGAAGGGACCTGCATGGTCCTCTGAAGGCAAGACATCAAGGATCCTGAGAAGCAGTTATGATCTAACAGGACTCCCGGCTACTCCTGTGTGAGAGAGATGCCACCTGACCCCGATGGACAGACTTACAGAGAGTTGGAGTGAGAGTTCCTCAGCAGTGGAGTGGAGCCCGTGGAACCGTTGTGCGGCAACTTTGGCGAGGAAGGCAAAGAAGAATCCGTCATCTCCTCAATGTCTGAATGAGAGGACGCTGACTTGGGGGACTTCTTCTTCCCAAAAGCTTGCTTGAAGGAGCTGCGTAACTGAACAGACAAGACCGTCAGCCTGGCGGGGGCTGCGACCAACATGTAGGCCTTGGCAAAACAGGAACATGCAGGCAAAGGGGCAATTAACTCTCCCGTTTTCTTTCCACCCATGAAAAAAGTTCCCAACAGCTCTCTCCAATCAGTTGCATTAAGGGAAGAAAAGTTATCTGGCGTGGACAGCTCAAAGGACTGGACCTGTGGGTAACATTCCATGCCTACTCTCGGCTCAAGACTAGATGCCAACAGCAAGACAGAGCCTGGCTCAGCAGGTGGATGTCGGGAGGATGAGGTTACACAGCAACAAAGCAGGATGCTCAGACACGGTGACGGATGCGGATGGGGTTAGTCATATCAATGGATGGGTTAGCTCGGTATCTGATATTAACAGACTTGCTTACCTCGTTGACCTGCCAGGGGAAACGCAAGCAAAAATGGGGGAGGGGAAGGAAAAAAGACAATTTTTAACAGAGAAAGCCAGTGACGGGGAAAGCTTCGGACTTTTCAGGCATGACATGGCTAATTATAAACACCACACAGAGAGGTTTCTAGTAAGATCACAAATCTTTCGAAGCACGAGGGGCATCTTCCTCTGTGATGTGAGGGAAAGAATGGCGAGTCTGGAAGTCCCAACAATCTGAGTTATTCCAGCTTCTCTGTCTGGTTGGAATACCTGTCCCCTGCGCCTGTGCTCCTCACCCTTTTGTCCCTCATCAGTCCCTTCTCTATTCCTTAATTTTTTGGGGGAGGGCGTCTTTTCTTCTCAGCAAGGAAGGGCAGCCGAACTACTACTGAGAGGTCCTGATACCTGCTTTCGGGTGCTCCTGCTATCCTCACATACACACGAGATAACACAGTGAGCAGGGAGTCAGACACCTCACTGTGTTACTAAAAAAAGTAAATAAATAGATATTTTAAAAGAAATTTATTCATCATACTGGGGGAAAGAAACTGGTTTATCACAAATTGCCCAAAGCACGAGATGGACCTCAACATTCTAACGAGACCCTAAAGAATTAAAGTGCGGGTCTCTTCTGAAAACCATGGTAAGCATGTAATCTTCTAGGCCAGAAAGTAAAGTTACGTCTTGAAAAAAGCCCTTGTGAAAAGTAACCTCCTTTTCCTAGCGTCTCTTTTTTTCTTCGGAAAACATGGTCTGAGGGCTTTCTTTGCCATTGAGAAATTCTGAAAATGGGCCATTCTGAAATAATTCATGGAATTTTTCTCCCATCAAGATTTCATCCATAACAAACTAACTCTATGTCCAGCTTGTGGGCGAATCCACATCGCATTTCTTTCTTATTCCTACTTCAGACCATATTTGGAGAGAGTAGTTACAGAAACAAAAGCATTTGGTGCATAAGCCATCAACCTATACCCTTGCCTTCACCTTTGGTCAAATGCCAGGTGGAAGAGGAGATTACAGAATTTAGACAGAATTAAGCTTTGGGATTATCTGAGGATGCAAATTACCCATCCTCCCCAAATGCAATGATAACCAAGAAAAACCTTTAAGGCAAAATAAATAAGTTTTATTTCTTAAACTGAAGAAAATGGATAGCCACGCTTTTTCATAGAACAGAATTCTCTCTCACCACTTCGATAACCAAATCAGACCATAGTTATCAACAGTGTATTAGAAATAGCAACATGAGTTAATTCTATTTGTTTAAATCCTTGCAAATGAGTTGACTAAAAGCCAGTAGTAACTTAAAGAAAAAAACTCCATCAGAATGATGAGAGGGTCACACTAAACTAGCCTGTTAGCTTGCCTCCGGGACAGGTCACGAATAATCAAAATGACTGAGTCCTTGACTCCCCTATCACCAGACCTCGCCACCCATCCAAGATAACACAAAATGAGCAAGGAGTGTATGGAATGAATGAAGACATTAACGCTACTATGGCAACAGGATGCCACTGGCACGGACAGATGAGGCCCTTTGAGTCCCGTCCAACTTCAGTTCCACGTGCACTGCAAACAGGGAGCAGCAGATGTCAATTGGAATTCCACGGCCTCCACAGCAGGACCAGAGGTAGGGTGGGGAGAGAGGAGTGGAATTTCCCCAGGGGAATGGGAAGAACTGTTCAGGGTGTCGCTGAATAGGAAGTAATGGAGCACATTGGGTCATGGAAACATGGAGAAACGCTGCACTGGAGACTGACTGGGTCTATTGCACTTGCCATTTGGAGGTATAACCTCCAAACTGAGAACCACTGACTGACTGCTAACATCGCCAGTGCGAAAATTGTACTTAGAGGACACGGTCAAAAGCTCTCAAAGAGAAGGGTGGTCTAGGGCTATCATAGGTGACTGTGTACATAAATAGATAAGGATGATGATTAACAATGGATAATTAGTGATAACACTCCAAAATATACTTTGGAACTAAGAAGAAACCACTTAAGAGTACATTTGCTCTAGTACCTGGAACTTTCTGGCCAAAATATGAGGAGGAAGAAATGACACATAAACGAAATGAAAGACGAGTACTTCACACAAAGTCTCGTGAACAGAATAACTGTAAGGTGGGGGTGATTTCATAAGTCCTCGTGTTTGGTTGAGCGCAATATTGATTTTAGTAGAAAGCTATCCACAAACTAAAGGTCTATGTTGGGAAGGTAAGAGCTTGCCTGGGCTTTATCGGGGGTGGGGGGGGTGGGCGCCGGTTCTGAGACCGACTCTGTTAGCCCCACGAGAGTCTCTGGATGTACACTCACCCAGTTCTTCCTCTTCTTTTTCTTCGAATCACTTTCTATGTTGCTGCCCACGCTGGAGTGGCTGGTGGCACTGTTGATGCTGGAGACGCTATCGGACGAGTGCTGCCTGCGGATGCGGAGGTCTGCGGACTGCGAGGTGCCATTCCCTGCAGACCGGAGGCAGGACGTCAGCAGCTGCTGCCTTAAACCCATTCCTCTGTCTTAGGGAATAACCCTCACACCTAAGTCCACACACCCAAGGACTACTCAGTGTCTCCCATTAGACAGCACCTCTGTCCCTCACTGCTGCTATTAAGGTCCTTGAGCAGATGAGTGCTATACCATTTGGTCAATAAATGAGGGCTCTTTCTCTCTCTCCTTTACATAAGCACAAGCAGGCTTAGAAAGAATTCCCCCAACACCAGCTCTCTTAAGCTTTAGATAGGTGTTTTTAGGGCCTTCTCCTCGCTGCACTGGCTGCCTTTCATCCCCATGGAAATGCCATGCCCGCTCATCTCAGGGACCATCCATAGGCTATTCCCTCTTCCTGGAACGCTCTTTCCCTCCACTCCGCCTGGCCAGCTCTTGCTAATCCTTCCCATGTCAACTTTAACATGAATCAAGGTTGCAGGAGGCCTGATATTTGAAACACCAGTCATACCAGAATGACACTGACACATGTCATTGCCTGACATGTCAGTGACTCCAAAATAGTTTGCAGACAGTTTTCCTCACGAGCACAGAGCTACTCCTACAATCTGGTTTATAGAGTACCAGTGCAGAGCCAGACAGATTTGGGTCTAGTCCCTCCTCTATTTCTAACTGCTCCTTGACCTCAGGAAGTGACTCTTGTCTCTGAAACTCTGTCCCTGCCAGTACTAGGTGGAGAGGCCCAGTATGGCTCTCACTCATAAGGGGATCATGGAAAGAAAATGAGATCATCAATTAAATAACTGATACAGCGTTTAGAACACAGTGAGTGGTCATAAATGTTAGCTATCACTATGACTTCTATTACTGTAATGCCGTTGCTGTAGGAGGTAACGCATCCTAGTGCCCACACTGTCCTCCAAGTAAGTGACACAGGGACAAAGCAATTCACTCATGAATCTTTTCCTGGACAAACAGGAATTGAGCCCATTTCAGGTTGTCCCACACCGATACGTAAACATCAAAGCATTAGTGAAGTTAAGGGCAATGAAATACTCTGACACTTGGCCAATAGAAATAAAATTTTCTTCCATTTTTGAGATACATCAAAGAGGATGAGATGGAAGAGCTATCTGCCCAGAGGGCAGAAGTAACTGGGCGACGCATTCGCCTTCCAGGACCTGCCCGGCTGACACGGACACCCACTCCCTTGCATCGCTCCTTGTCAGGGGAGGGCTCCTCAGGGCAGGTCGTGGGTCTCCAGGCTGTTTCTGGTCCTTTACCTTTGCAGTTGAGCTCCGGTGTGTTAATTACCCCGTTAATGGCAGCCTGGGCGGCTGCGTTCTGTTTCTTCAGCAACTCAATGGTTTTTCTTAACTCATTCAGCTCTGAATCCTGAGAACAGGAAAAAAAATACTGGTTATTCTAAAATCATTCTCTGTACAGAGTTCAACTGAAGTGCAAGTTTTAACCATGGAGCGTAAGAAGTAAAGGAGTTCTAATCACGCTCTGTCTCAAACACCAGGTCGGGGCAATTCCCAACGTGCATGCATGATGAGCCCATGACAGCAGCAGAAATAGGACTGTGTCATAGCTGTCATGGATCAAGTTACCACCTGGCCGTTTAGGTCACTTTTTCACTCAACAGACCTACTCTAAACTCTATACAATGATCTGGAATGAAAGAGAGTAATATGTTTAGGTGTGTTTTTTAACACCAAGCAGGGAGGGGAAAAAGCATCCTTTGTGCCTTACCTTCTGCTCTGCCGTCATGGTCAAACTCTGAAGCCTGATTGTCATGTTCCCAAGGCTCTGCTCAAAGGCTGCCACCAGGTGAGCCTGGAGGGGAAGACACAGCCCGAGTTACCTTACCTTGCGAGGTGAGAGTGCTTAAATGGCATGAAGCACGAGAGACGAAAATCCTCACAGGACCACGCGAGTTAGCCCCTGTCTAATGCTTCTGTCTCTGAAGCCCTGCTGCCCAACACTCTCTGGAGTTGTTACCCCAGCTTTTCATGTCTCAAATGCCCCTAACTTCCTCTCACCTTAGGGCCTTTAAACACATTTTCCCCTCAGCCTGGGGTGCTCTACCCACCCAGCTGCCTCCCTCCCTAATTTTTGCATGTCCTTCTCAAGAGATCTCAGCTCGTGCATTCACGACACCCCCAGACTGGGCTGGTGCCTTTGTATTTGCTCTGACAAGCACACTGGGCGGCTGCTTTGTGCTCTGTGGCATCACAGTCAGAACTACGTGTGCTCTTGTGGGAGCTGCTTCACGTGTCTCTGCCACGCAGCAGGATGACCTTTTGTTCATCACACACCAAGCTCACAGTAGGGGCTCGTACTGAGAATGCTTGTAGAATGAGCGAACAAAGTGGCCGGCATGTTTTGCTTGTTATAATCCGGGTTAATAAAAAGCCATGGAAAGGCCCATCTGCTACCCCCTTAGAGAACCCCTCCCTTGTTCCCCCAGGGAGTTACGACTTTCCCCTGAGCTCCCCCTGCACTTTTATAAACCTCTGTTAAGAACACAAGGCACCATTCTTTTATGCCTTACAAGGACGGTTTTTAAAATGCTGCCAATTATAAGTAAAACATGCATCCAGATTTCAAAGATGGTAAAATGTGAAAAGAAAAATGTGTGTCTTAGAATTGAGAAATGTGATATCTTCCCGTCTGCCCCCTTTGTGTTCAAACACCAAGACTTCTTCCTTCTTCCACAGAGCGAGAGATGACAGACTGGTTGGTTGACTGAGGGTCCTGGTTATGACTGTTAGAACCAAGAATAAAAAAGGGACAAATCATCTAATCCTACTGGACTCAGTTTCTTCATCCATAAAATGGGAACAATATTTATTTTCCTCCCAGGGTTATGATGAACATTAAATGAAATAGCATAGGCGAAACCCAGGAATGAATGAACAATGTGAAGGAAAGAAGAGGTCTGAGAATGAGAAAGTGGCCAAAGATACCATCAGAACATTGGAGTAAGGAGATCAAGATAGGGTTCTCGGAGTGCGGGGGCAGATACACAGAGGGCCATAGGAGGAAGGACAAAGACCAGCAGGATACTTGAGAGTCTTGGCAGAAGCTACGATTTGATTATGTTGGACAATTCCAGAAAAGATGGGGGATGCATGCAGTGGCGAATGAAAGCTGGAGAACATCTGGCTGGGGGAGGAGTCACTGCCCTGGGCTGTGCAGAGGGCCCGTGGACGCTGCAATTTAAGGAGGGGACGTTTGAGGAATGAGTCAGAGGCCTCTGTCAGGATACTTCACCAAACAGGAACATCTGAGGATAAGATCATCTCTAAGATCAACAGTTGAGTCTTTTCCAGCAGCCATAGGATCTGGCCCGGGAGGAGGGCCACTTGCGGTGGACATGTGAAGTGGGCTAGCCAGTTCCTTTCTGACTGCATGCCTGCTCTCTCTTAAAAATAGAGAGAATGCCTTTGCACTTTAAAATAAAGAGATACGTAGTAGTCTGCCCTGGAGAACGTGGTCACACCGGAGCCCATTTAATTCTAGACAGTCACACAGTGGATAAAGGAAGTGGGCCAGGACATGGATGTGAAAAAGAACGATGGCTATCCTTGCATTTCAAGGGAACAACAAGGTCAAATTTAAAGGCCGAATTTCCATTTATGTCACATCTTTGTCTGATCGCCACCCATGATTCTACCAGTGAGCATTCACATTTTCTCTTCCACTGAAAACTAAAACCCGACTCCATGATGACTGCTAGTGAGAAAGTGTTCGTGCAAAGCTCCGGAAGGAACCGCATTTGCTCTGAAGAACCGGAGGTCTGCATTTTGCTGGTGAACGAAAGGACTGACTCGCTATATGAATGCAACGATGAAAATACAGGCGGAGGTTGCCGAGAGCCTGGTTCAGAGCCACACAACAGCCCCTCTCTCACCCAGCACCAGCCTCACATTCCATGGGGAAAACAAACACCAGTGGTCTGAAAACACCCAGTGTGTCCTTTGAGTAGTGTGTCCTAGAAAAACAAACACAGCTTGGCCTGGGGAGAGATGGCAGACAATAAAACACGTTAGCACTGCTGGTGGTGTGTGGAAAGACTAAATGTTTACTTTAAAACAGTACTGGATTTGATGGCATTTGTGAGGAGCAACACACACTTTAGAAGAACAGGAAGACAGGAGAGATCTCTGCTGACTCTTCTGGAACAGAGAGCGGGGCCGGGAATGGCCCAGTGTCAGGTCCCACAGAGCAGGAGGTCATTGGAAGAATGAACCCAAGTTCATTATAAGTAAATTTATAGTTTAGTGAGGGGTAACAATCGACAGCTGTAATTCTTAAGCAGAGGAGTAGTTAGAAATCACTTAGGAGAGGAGTCACTGTCAGATCTCACACATTGGGATTATACCAAGGAGATCCTGGCTTATTGGGCTGCAGGTGGTTCTGGATTCAAATGGCGACCCAGATAAAGAGTCTGCCCTCAGGAAAATACCTCTGCTGTTCTTTTGAAGAGGATCTAAGCCTCAAATTCAGGTCTCACATCAATTTCTGATGGTCTTTTGATAGCATTACTGATGATGGATGAGGTAAAGAAAGTAAAGGAGGATTGCAAAATACACAGTGGCCTAGTACGTCAGGGCTTTGGAAGAAAAATCTAAGATTTCTAGAAATGTGAGAGCTCAGAAACATGAATACTAGTAACAGCAGCCACTGGTTACTGAGCTTGTAACCAAGGACCAGCACTGTGAAAGGCAGTCGCGTGCAGACTTTAAAGAGAAATGGTTTCCTTGAGTAGGCTCAGGCTCAAGCCAGGAATTACCTAGGCCAAAATTGCAGGTGAAATATTAATTTAGACCAAGCTTCTTGGTCCAAGGAAGACGACCTTTTGAGCTTGCTTTTTGCTCAGCAGCTATGGGGTCACGCAGATTGTTTTCTGACAGCCTCGCACACCTGTGTGCTCAGACTCAGGCTGGGCTGTGCACTCCTTGGGAGGAAGTCTTGCCCCAGAGGCATCCTGGCACCTTCCCAAACCTCAGGCTCTGCCTTCTGTGCGTCAGCCCTGCGGCAGGTCTCCTTTACAGACCGGTCTGATGGGGCGGGAGCTCTCTGCCTCTACTCTCACCTCGTGGATCCCATCATCACACCTGACCCCCCACAGCTCTGGAAGCCCACTGAGAGGGCTCCACTGCCTTCAGAAGCCCAACCTCCCATCTAACACCTGAGGGCCTCTGCCACGCACCCTGACCATGGCCTTTCACTGGCGCCTCCTTCTTTCTCCCCTCCACCCCGCCTCTCATCCAAATGCATCAAGACCTTTCACCTTGGCTTTTGCACCAGTTTTTCTTTTTGGTTAGAAAGTTGTCCTCCCCATGCAACCCCCCCTACACAGCATCTGTCAGATGTCACCTCCTCCAGGGAGCCTTTCCTGACCTCCTACCCCACTGAGACTGAGACAGGTGCTCCTCCCATATTTTCCCACAACCTTTGCCCCTTGATCTCTATCACAACAGTTATTGTGTTATGGCAAAACTGTTTTGTCTCTCTGCTGCGCCAGACAAACAACACTAAAGTGACAGTGACTTGCTTGCTTTGCCGTTGAACCCACAGCGCCAGGGGCATAGTTGGCACTTAAACAATTGCTGAATTCAGTGCTGGCTGGCAGTGCCCCTTGAACACGTAATTGTGTGTGTTATAATTACAGAGCAGTCGGCTCTTTATTGTGAAACCCTACGTTTCCTCCCCCACCACCGTTTTTCCCCTTCTATGAAAATTTTCAGAAGGAGAAAGGGAAGGGAAATGAACATTTCTGAGCACTTAATATTGTCCAGAGACCAATCACGTGACAGCCCTGATGGGTAGTATCATCGCCCGTCGTACGGAGGAGCAAACAGAAGCTCAGAGGCTAGAGAACGTGCCCAAAGCACAGCCTGTCAGTGTCAGAGCCAACATCCACACCCGCGATGCTGCAGCCCGTGTGTGACACCATGTGGCTTCCACGGTGCTCCGGGCCGGGAGGCCTCGAGCTGACGCTCAGCAGGCCGCAGTGGCCGCCACCCCTCCCCACGGCTGCTGCCCGGGGTCCATACTCACATTCGCTGTCAGCTGGGTGGTCAAAGCGGAAACCTTTTCCTGGGAGGCATCCAACTCCCGCCGCAGTTTGCGAATCTAAAGAGGAGCGGGGACAGGGTTACTTGCTTGGGGAGTCCGTTCCCAGGCTGAGCTGGGTAAAGGAATGGATGACGGGGAAAGAGGACACCCACGACCAAACGGCTGCTTACCTCTGACTGGCACTTTTCCTCCGGCTGGAAAGAAAACACAGGGAGATTAGAGGAGGCGGGGAACAGAATGGAGCAGACCAGCCTGCGGAAAACAGGCATAACAGCAGTCTGGAAGATTTATGAGTTTCTTTCCTGTACTTTTCTAGATAAACTGGTTTTGGATAAAATTTAACCAATGAAAAGGCCCAAAACAATCAGCATACTATTTTACAAAATTAGGAAGACGTTGACACTCTAATTACTTTGTTTGTGAGGAGCCCCCTGTCCCCACATGGAGATGGTGGCAGGGTCAGGGGCCCAGGACAGGGGTTGTGAGAAGGGGATGGGCCAGGGCAGGTGCCGGACTGAGAAAATAAACACACAGGTAACCTCAAGTTCCCCGGTTACCTGTGACCCTGGGGAAATAGCAGTGCCGTCTAGGGGGGTCCTTGTGATGGCAGAGCCCTCTGTGCTGGGCCCCCAGTTTTGTTCTCCGACTGAAGCTGGCTGCCGGTGGGAGAACAGAGCTACCCCTCTCCTCCCAGACGGGGAGCCCACCTGGGTGAGGGGGTGCCTACTGCCAGGAGAACCTTTCTTTCCCTTTCCTTGGGTTCCCAAGGGGCCCCCAGAAGCAGACTCCCCCTTACCCCTTCCTGGAAATTCTGGAAGTGCTCCTGCCCTGCTCTCCACACCCCCACTCACACTTGTCCAGGGCGGAACAGTGATGTGGAAGCCAGGCAGGTGAGCAAATATCAGTAAGGGCCCTCTTTTGTCCTTGGGTCCTCCCTGAATGTTCTAATCCAAATTTATTAGCAATAAACTCATTATTTTTCAAAGCCAGCACTTGACTCTGATGTCTACTTCTCTATTCAGAATGCAAATGGGTAGGATTCATTAGATCCCCAAGGCCCCACCGCTGCAAGCTGGGGCAGGTTCCTATCCAATCTCCCCTCACTCTGCCCTCACTCCCAACCCTGGCCAGAGCCCCCGCCGTCCAGGCTGGCTTCTAAGAGCAGCAACCAACTTTTAGGTACACAGGGACCAAATCGCTTAATCCTTGCAGGAACCTCCAGGAAGTCAGTTCACCTGTAACCCCTCTGAGGCTCAGAGAGGTTAGGTCTCTTGCCTACATCACACAGCTGGGCCCTCTCCTCATCTAAGAAACACTTTGAGGAGAAGGTCTGGAGATGTCCTAAGGGTCCACTCTTTCCTCCCAGATAACATTTATCTGTCCCTCTCTGTCCATCCATCCCCCCTATCAAACATTTATTGACTTCCTTTACGTGTCAGGCACTGTTTAAGAGCCTAGATACAGCCATGAACACGTCCAAGTGCCTCGCCTCATGTTACTCACATTCTGGTCATAGTAACTACCATCTACTGAATAGTGCCACATGCCAGCAACTGTTCCAAGCACTTTATGGTCAATATTCATTTAATCCTCGTAACAACCCTCTGCATAGGTACTAACAGCATCACCTTCTGTTTTGCAGATGAGGGAAGTGAGGCACAGACAGGACAAGTCATCCACCCGTGGTCACTACTGGTAAGTGGTAGAGCTGGGGTTAGATCCAAGGCACTCTGGCTCCAGAGCCTGTGCTCTTAACCAGCACGTTCTCCTGCTTTTACTATAGCTACATTCTCATGCAAGCTTTCCAGAAGAAATAAGGCCCTGTCTTCAGAGTCTGATCCAAAGGGGAAAAGCTAATGGTGAGAATGTCAGTGCTATCCAATATTTGGGAGGCGAGCAGAGGCCAGTGAGCGGGCTGAACCATCCAGCCCTACTTCTATCCACAGGCCTAATGCTCCTTCCCCTGTTTCTGCCACTGTCACTGTGCCCACCTGTCTATGGGGGTGGGCCCCTGTTCTCGACGGCAGCCTGGAGAAATCATGTGTTTTATATTTTGCCCCCAACTGCTGCTGCTGCTCTTCTGCACATCTGGGAAGGCCAGGCGCAGCTGCAGACCTCCCCCCACTTAGCAGCTCCCCATGGAACTCAGCTGCTGCTCCCTAACCGGCCAAGAAAGCAAGCGTGATGCTGGACGTGGCCTCTCGCATCTACTCTACTCCCTGCATTGGCCATGGCTTCTCCACGACAGTTGTTTAGCATCATGTTGCTTTTTCCTGTCTTTGTAATTAAAATGACAGGCACATTTCAGCCAGAATGGGCAGTCTTGGATATCCAAGAATTACAGAGATTTCAAGGGGGGAAAAAACCCTATCATCATCCAATAAGAGCCTATAAAACACTCAGCTATTAAACAGGCTCTTTGGTCTGGGCTGGTGACAACTTCAGAGACTCCGAAGATCTCTTGGCAGACAACAAATAAGAGCTTGTTCACCTCAACGTTTGCAAAGGCGCCTGAGCATTTGTCTCAGAATTTCATTACCACCCAGTGGCTAATAACAGATGAGGGAGCACACATCAGTACTTGCTGGGTGCAGAGTCTAGCCAGACTTGCAGGTTTCCTTGGAACTAGCAGACTGGTGTGGTATGAAAACAGCTAATTGTTAGCCTCTTTTTTTTTTTTTAAGTCTGCAAAGGTAACCTAAATTCTCAGAGAGGGCACATGCCAAGGACAGTAAAGGGGAACCTCTGATTCCATGACTGGTGGGATATCAGAGGCTGTGGGGACCTCCGAGACCACCTTGCCTGGCTCTCTGACACCACGAGCAACAAAGAGACACCCGAAATGATGAGGTGACTTGTCCAAAGTCACACAGGGAGGAAAAAAACCTGAGATTAGACCTCAGGTTTCCTATTGTCCAGATGAATTAAAACTATTAATCAGGTCTTTGGTAATGTGTGAACTTACATCAACTCAGAAAAGACCATTTCTCATTTAATGAAAAAACCTGCTTCATGTCCACCCAGCATAAGAGCTCTGGGAAGAGAGACCTCCAATGAACCTCCAGTGGTTGGCATGAGGGCAAGTGACGGGTTCCCCCACCGGAGGCTCACAGGTGCAGCAGCTCACGCACTGCCCCTCCGAGGCTGGCACAGGTCAGCCTCCCGGTTTTCACTCTGCTCAGAAGGGCCCACTCCTCTGGGTTCACAGGAAACCCTGGGAACGCCACTGAGAAGACATGGGGCGCAGGCACCAAAATGTCTGCTATGGTGGCTCTGCACCAACCCTGTGAAACTAGAGTCCCACGTCCTATGTCCCTTGGGACCCTTGGGTGCCTCTGCCCTCCTCTTTCAGCAGCAGGCTCCTGTCTACACTTAAACCATATCTGCAGGGCCTCAGCCTGGCACGTATTTAGTGCCTGTGATCCTGTTGAAGAGGTGAATCTCCGCTTGACAGTCCCGTCTCTGGTCTCGATATCACAGAGTTTCAGTGCAGAACAAAGACTAGCTCACAGTTAGAAGGCCGCCTCTATGCTTTCCTAGTAGATAATAGCTTAAACGCCCTCCCCCCCAGGTTACTATATATAAAGCCTTTAAAATGAAAGCCAGGACTCTGTGATGAAATTTCAGAGAAGGCGATTAGCTGCAGAAAGAGGTACTTGGGAGTCAGAGGGGTGAGGTGAGCAAGAGCAAAAGAGCATTTCTAGGCCCTCAGAATCAGACCACGTCAACCACCGTGGAGGTGTTCGTTTGCTAGAGGCTTAAGAAAGAACAGTCAGGCCGTGGTCTCTTTCATGTGATTCTGGGATGGCCTTTTACTTACAAGGGGCTATACATAGTTCATCCTGCTATGTAGCCCAGAAACCTGAAATATTAAATAAAAAAAAGTTTGTCCTCCACAGAATTAAGGACAAAATAATCTTCACTTCTTAATTAACAGATTTTTTTTCTGATAGGAATTCCCAAGTATTTACACACATAGCTATCAAAAGTAAGGCCCCCTGAGCAAACAGTGACACGTGTGATCACATCAGGCTTTTGTCCAGTGACACTCTCCACGATGGCAAACGTGTGAGTGCTTCCTCTGTGCTGCGTGCACCGTGTTCACGGCTCTGCGTGCACTTCCTTGTTCTAGGCAAACCTATGTTTTGAACACTTATTAGGCACTAGGAATAAAAACAGAAAAAAGCCCTTGTCTTCAATGAATTTGCATGGTAGCAAAATATAATCTTCAGGACATTTAATCCTCCTTACAACTTCACAAGGTAGGGACAGCTGTTCTTACTACTTTGTAGATCAAGAAACTGAGGCAGACAGATGAGGAAGCTTTTCAGGGCCTTTCTTTTCGAATTCTCCCAGCAGGTGGCCAAGGCTCCTCACATGTGCTAACTAGTTACCACCCACAGCACAACGCCACCTTAACAAAGCAGCCGGTTGCTGATTCATTGGTTGGTACGTTCTAATCAATAGCCATTTGTGAATTTCAATCTTGTTGCCTAATTAATTGATCCCCTTATCATGGAAATACTCTCTCTAGGAAGAACGCTGGTCTTTTATTCTGGACACATTTGATAAAGGAACCTCAGCTCACATGACCATAGCTATACAGAGTTAATTTATACTCACTGTTGAATAAATTGACGATGTGCTGGAAACCAAGGAGAGCGAGGATCCGTGAACTATTCAAAAAAAGAAAAGAAAAGGTGACTTGCATAGCTGGTGCTGTGGAGCCAGAATGGGGGGAAAGGAAGCCGAAATTCAGTCTTCCGGGGGACTACCGGGCTCAGAGCAAATGGATTTCACCCTGACCCAGCCTTTCCTGCTTTGGCCAGAGGTCAGCACCAAATAAATAAGGAATAAGTTGTTAAGAGAATCAGTCAACTTTCTGTTAACCACATATTTTCCCTACCACCTCCTAAATACTTTGTCCCCCCTATCAAAATGATACATGATTACTTAATGAAAATTTCCAAGGACAGTGAAGTGTTGAAAAGCATGTTCACTACTGTATGTAACCTGCATGATTCATAATTCTGTCACCCAGAGGCGATCTGCTACCTGTCCAGGTAATATCCTGCTAGCACCTGCCACTTGTATGTGCAAAAGTGAGCTGGTTACTCTGAACACAGAGGGAATTTACTATGTTGGCCAAAGTAAATTCATTCTAGTTGAATGAACATTTGTCCACAAACCTTTGTTTAGAAAACATATCCAGTGACATTAGAGTCTTCTTTCGATTTCTACAATGTCCCCAAAGAGACAAGCAAGTGGTGTCGTCTCTTCTGTCTCCAACTGGTACTTTTTGGCTTAGAACCATCCTCGTACCCTCTTATCACCCTTCTGGCCCTCAGACAAGAGGAGACACTTTGTTCGTTGCTTTTGTAAAATTTTAAAGCATGGTCTGCACTTTCTACGACAGGTATTCTGGCTGACTGCTCTTCTGAGGAACCAGATTCTTTCATGACATATTCTTGGTACTCTCCCGACAACTTGTTTCAAAGACAGAAATACGCCTGGGGAGACCTCACAGACCGTTTCACGGGGCACAGCTTTCCGGGCCACGGGTGGAACGCCTCTACTCCACACTGTGCTATCCACCTTTGGTCTGAGAGTCGGAGGATCAGGAGAACTTCCCACACGTGCTCAGGAAATTCCACCTACCTCTCAAGGAATGAACTCGGCGTGGAGCAGCAGTTGGCAGAAGTGCCCTGCCCGCGTGATGTCTGAGGACCAGCTCAGTGGACCACTCAGGTGCCTCCTAATACTACGGATCCTACGCTGGTCTCTCAAGCCTTGGGCAGCACTTTCTCTCCTCAGAGTCTCTGCCCGTACAGTCCCTTTGGTTTAAGATGAATCTCATTTCTGTCTGTCCAGACCATCAGGATCAGCACAAACACCTTCTCCATGAAGCCTTCCCTTATTTCCCTGACGGGCTTTCTCCTTCTGAACCCACATTGCTCGTGGCTTGCCCCACCAGCCTTCTTCTCTCTTCACATGTGTGTTACAATGAGGCTGCCCCTGCACCACCACTCACATCCACCTTCCTCAGCACTGCCCAGAGTTCTAGATCTTTGCCTCCGTTCTCCCTCCAACCATGACTCATCTGACTCATATCCCATAAAATATCAGTTAAAGGTGTTAACGGCCAATCATGGCTTTCAGCATTAATATGTCCACACATTAATAGAGTCTTCTCATGTCCCAACCTGGGGACCTAATGTTCCAAAGGGGTAACCTACTTCAGCCCCAGGACACAAGTAGCAGTCGGAGATTATACTGGAGGCCGAGCTGGGGTCAGAGATGGGGACAGCATGACCCCACCCTGCCAAATGCCTGCACAGGGTGGCTCTACAGCATACGGCTGCTGGAAAATGGAAATCGTTTCCTCTTCTATTTCTCCCCCGCACAGGCTTACTGACGATGCCTTCAGCAATATCCCGGTGTGAGCGGGGGCCACAGGACAAGAAGAGCACATCTGGCAGGGTTCAGGTGGAGGCACTTGTTTTTCTCTGAAGTTAACTCCTCTCACTTGGTCCTGAGCAACAGCAAGGCTGTGATCCAAAGAAAGATTTCTTGATTTCCAAGGTCAACCCCAAACTGCACGTGGCTTCCCTGCACTTGGCCCTCCTTCAAGTGAACCGAGCCAAGTCCGAGCCTGGGTTGTGGGGCTTGGATACTTTCGGACAACAAAAGCCATATGTGAGTTACGAAGCCAGAGCAGCCAAGGCAAGCCGTATATTTCCTCTCTGTACTATACTGTCAACAATGTGAAGTTACAGGGAACCTCAGCGAACACCTAGGCCACCTCTGCCTTTGAGCAATCTGAAACCGAGACGGGTTACGTGAGCTGCTCAAGGTCATACAGCATCCAGGAATTCAACCTGCTTGCTTTGCCCTTGAGTGACCTGGTTGACTGGTTTCTGGGTGGTTTCCTTCTTTCTTTTTTTTGTAAAGCCCTTTGGTATGTTTAAGAATGAGTCCCCAAGCCCCTTGTTCCACGGACAGGCAGGCACAAGCCAGAACCAGTGTCTGAGAAGATGCTTTAGGTGGGGGTGAAGTCATGAGACACATGACACCACCTGGGCATATTCCAGCCAATAAAGCAACAACTGCTCTGACATCTCACGTGGGCATCTCACGTATTTTCGGTTTCATATGACTCAAAGCACTTTCTCATTTGTACTAGTGTTTGAAGGGACCCTCATCATCACAGAGAATTTATAGGGAGTATGTCCAGACAGGACAGGAGCTTCTATCCCCAATTAACACAAGAGTAAATTAAAGCCCAGAGAGGCTGAGTGATGTGGCTGAGCACACACGGGTGTTCAGGAGCAGGGAAGAAGGTGAATCTGGGCATTGTACCCTGGTTCTCGCCTCACCACTGGGTACTGCGCAAGGAGCTGGTGGGAAGGAGGTTCGGTTGAAGGCTAACAGACTGCCCCTTCGGCCAGCAGAGAAGTATAACCGAACACCGAGAACAGGTGGACGACGGGTCCCAGTTCACCTCACACAGGCAGGAAAGCCCAGCTGTGGCCGGTGCAGAGCCACGGTGCAGAGCCAATGTCAAGAGGGAATTGAGGAGAAAAACTGATGGCTCACATCGAGAATTTGGAATCTAGTCCTGGCTGCAGAAACTCCTCAAGTCAGTTCTTCTGTCTCAGTTTTGTCATTAACAAAAAAGGGATGAGATGGCCTTTGGGGAGCAGGATAAAATAAAACATGACGATTATAACTAAAGCTACCATTGATTGAGTCCTTACTCTAAGCCCTTTTCAAAGTCATTTCGCTAAATGCTTTCCAGGATTTATTTCGCCTAATCTTCATCAAGCCTTTGAAGCAAGTACAACTCCGTTCCGCATTTCAGTGAGCGGGCACTGACCAGGGTCTGGCCCCTTCCCAAAGCCTCACTGGTAACACTGAAGGAGCCCGGATTTGCAGTGCAGCTGTAACTCGGGGCGAGACACACGAGTGAGCTGCAAGGTGGGACTTCTTTACGAAAGGCTGCTTGGCCCTGCCCCTGAGATTCCCAATGAAATGGTTCAGACTGCACGAACTCTTGGGGTGAGTGGTCCAGTCACGGGATGGTTTTTTCCCTCCAAAGACATCCATTTAAAAACGCCTCAAGCATCTCCCTGAGTGTATGCTATTAGCGTTGACTTTAAGATTGCATAATGCACCTGATGGAGGTGAACTGACCTGAAATAGCTTGGAAGGGCTGTAGGTGGGCCATGCCTCTACCTAAACTGCACAGTTATGGTACCCAAGCTTCCTTCGAAATGGAAGATGCTCATTAAACCCTGCAAAATTCTTGCACAAATACTCATGCTCACTCTTCCTAAATTTCCATCCTACGTTCTGGCACGTGCTATGCCTCACTGCTTCTTACAAGGAGGTTCTAAAGCTGGGATGTGAAATTTTCCCAACTGTTTCTGCAACACTGTAAACTCTTCAAAAGAGGGAAAAGAGTCTCTCCAGTGGAATTAAAAACATGCAGCTGCATCCCGGGGGAATCCAAAAAACAGAGTAAATGAACTCACAAAACAGAAGAAAACCCTCATACACACAGAGAGCAAACTGATGGGTTGCCAGGTGGGAGGGGTTGGGGGAAGGGTCAGAAGGGGAAGGGATGAAGTTGCACAAACTGGCGGTTACAAATAGTCATGGGGACGTCAAGCAGAGCACACGGGTGCAGCCAAAAACAATGTAACCCGGGGGACCACTTTGTCGGTTACAGAAATGTCCAACCACTGTGCTGTGCGCCTGAAACTAGCATAATATTAAATGTCAACTGTAACTGAACAACTAAGAATAAGTTTAAAAAAAGAGAGACAAAGAAAAAACCCATCTCACTGCATAAATCGCATTTTGTTTTTGCAGTAGCCTTGGAAGGGATAGACATGAATCTGATGCCGAGTTTCCCCAAAGAAGAAAATGTTGTGTTTATATAGTGTATCGACAGCAGTCCCTGCCTCTTCCCCACACAAATCTGACTTTTTCACCTCTGATGTCAGCCCTGTGTCACCATGAGTGACAAGGGTTACCAAAGTCTAGACCCTGCTTGTGGTCAAGCACTTGTTATCAGCGTCACTCTGACATCCAATACCCCATAGTTGAGCTGCCCGACAGCTTGATGCCAGGTGAATAAGTAAAAGCTGTCCGCAGTGGTCCTGGACCTTTATGAGGCGAAGCGTGCTTGTCTGGGGAAGCCTCGGCACTGCACGCAGGTCACTCAGGTACGCTCAGGACAGAGAAGATGAACGTGGCCCAGGATGCACTCCCTCCGAGAGTCGTCCTCGGAGGGCTGGGAGTGCTCCAGGGCCCTGCCTGGCCAGCACACTGACTGTGAAAAAAGTTCAAGACAAACTGGCTGCTCCTGCACCTTAGGATCCGCACATCCGCCAGCATTCCTGCTCCGAGTGGTTACAGCACTTAGTTCTAGCTCCTAAATGCAGGGAAACTCTCAGTCACTCAGGCTCCACCCTCCTTAATCCTGCAGGTTCCCATATATGGGTTTATAGACTTGCATCTGCTCAATGCATGTCATTGGATGCAAACAATATATAACTAAGGGTGGAGAGAATGAAGTCGCTAGAAAGATTAAACAGGGCAACTGCTCTGTAACTAAACTGTGAAACTCTTAAGTACATCAGGCCCTGACTGGTGTGGCTCAGTAGGCTGAGCTCCGGCCTGCAGACTGAGGGGGTCACTGGTTCAATTCCTGGTCAGGGTTCTTGCCTGGGTTGCAGGCCAGGTTCCCAGCTGCAGGTGTATGAGAGGCAATGGACTGGTGTCTCTCTCACACACCAATGTCTCTGACCCTCTCTTTCTCTCTCCCTTCCCCTCTGTCTAAAAATAAATAAAATCTTCAAAAAAAAAAAAAAAAGGAAAAAAGAAAGTACATCGGGCAAACTAGAAGCCTGTATCCCACATGTCTGTCCCTCCTGACCCGTTTAGGGATTTCTGAGACAGTCACAGGTTTGATTGCTCTTCCCCGCCAGGAGGGTGCTGGGCCTGTTTCCCCACTGTGACAGGAACTGGGGGCACAGAGAAGTACCCCTGACTCCCCTCCTACTTTCTCTTCTGTGGTTGGCAAAAAAGGGGGAAATACCACTACAGATACAGCCCGCAGCCTGGGCTCCCTCTGTACCCAGAGCCCCCGTCCTCCGGCGGGGGACTTCCAGCTGCCGGAACACCAGTGCTAAAGCTGCATTCCGAGACATACAATATCACTGGGCTAACATTTGTATATATTATCTCATTTAATTCTCGTAATTCCATGAGCTGGGTGCTATTATCGCACCCATTTTATCAATGAGAAAACAGAGGCAAAGAGAGGTGAAGTCATTGCCCAAGATCATGTGCCTACCACACGGCGGGACTGGAACTCAGACCCTGGTCGTCTCACTACACATTCTTAACCATACATTAGCCAATGAGTACTTCCTCCACTGCCCTATCAGCCGCCTTTGGGAAGCTTCGGGGGAGTGGGTGATGTCCCCCCACAATGTTCTGACTGCTCGTCTCCCTGACTCACACCTTGAGTGAAGGAACAAAGGGAAAGAGAACAGAACTGAGGGAGGAAGATGGCCGACAAAGTTGCCCACAGTATTTTTACCCTAAAGTTCTGAATAAAATGAACAGAACACAAAAATCTAATCTAAAATACTCCCAACTAGCAGGCAAAGAAGGAAAAGAGCATCGCTGAAGGCAATAACCTTGAAAAACTGATGCCTAAATAAAGAAGCGGAAAATTTCGGAGTGCAACGGAGAAGGCGAGGTTGACCCCCAGAGCTGTACAGGTGCGTCAGCCCAGGGAAATGAACTCTCCAGGAACGCGCTCTGCGGAGATGGTGAGCCGGCACTGCAACCTCGAGATGGAGGCGCGTGCCAAGAAGCTCCAGCCCACATCCAGGGCAGAGAAGCCTAGAACAGAACTCAGCCAACTTGAAGGGTCGCCAGAGGTTTTTTTTCAGCAGCCTCTTCCCTAGAGTCCTTCAAGGTTCATTAAGACCCAGACCCTACTATTTGGTCCCCCAGTCTGACACCCAGAGTCAGTGGGAGAGTTGGAAGCACTTTCAGGTAGACTCTAGCTCAGCGGAGTGACTTTGGCATAGAAGAGCATTAACTACACCCTCTGGCCTGGGAGATGGCCAGTCTCCTTGCTTACCTTCCTCAAACCCATCCCGGAACGAGCCTGAGCGGCTCATGGTCCTGCTCTTCTCATCCAGGGACATGGAGCTATTCCGGAAGCGGCTGTCGGTGTACGGGTCGTACTGCCCGTCGGCATTGGACAGGCTGTGGGTCCTCAGCATGGTCGGGTTGGACAAGCTCATCTGCGTGACGGTGGTGGGGCTCGCTGGAATGAAAGGAATGGAATCAAAAGGCTGGAAAGTCACGTTTCTGTTCGAATCCTGGACGGGGGTGAAGAGGAGACTGCTTATTGTCAGCCATATCCGTCCCTGCCAACTCCTCTCCCTCGTCTGTTTTCTAAAAGGTAGTCACATCAGCATTTGAGTTACACGCTGAGAGCTAAAAATAAGGGAGGAAAGGTGGGTCAGTTCCAAAGCTGAGGCTCTGGGCCTCAGCTTTCCAACTTGGCACGTTCAGACAAGCTAGTGTCACCTTCCAGGCATGAGCTAATTACTCCCTGGGCTCATCTGGAACAATTCCCTCTAAAGCCAAAAGCCCAAAATAGTCCCACCGGGCTTTTGATCAGATGGGAAGCATTTGTGCATGACAAGAAACTCCTGCCTCAAAGAGTTATGGCTGGGAAAGAACAATATGCACACGGGTCCCATTGCCTCGGATGGGGAACGCCAAATACCAGCGCCTCGAGAGCTTCGGTGCAAAGGGGGCGCATTTACTGCAGCCGAAACTAGCTTTCTTATTAAAATCCTGTCATTAGTAATGTACACTATTGCAGAAGTATCCCTGCAGTTAACTCAAAATGAAGAGTTAAGTCATACTTGATTACAAGCCACACCTGTCCTTAAGTAAAGACTCTGAGTTTATTATCCACAACCCTCGGGAAGGGCTGCTGTGCTCTCTAAAGGAGCCGAGACTGGAGAAGCTCTGACCCGCCTCCATCAGTCTCCCAAGGCTCAGCTCCCACCCTGCCGCCTTCTCCTGGAATTCCAGCCAGGACCGAGCCTTCCTCTAAGTGTACATAATACTTCAGTTTCTACACAGCTTCCTATAAAGCTTTGGACTCTTCTCCTTGATCCTATTTACGAGTCTGCCTGAGTGTGTTTGTTGCATTAAAAAAAGAATCCACTACATATCAGCAGGGAGTGTGCTACAAATTCTTTCCCTCCCCTCCCCATGCCAATCCAAGCATTATGTCAGCAGTAGGCACTTCCAAGAATACTTGTTCAATCAAAACCTGATTTTTATTTCTAGCTTAATAAAGCAATGAGGATGACCAAACATGGTATAGCTATAACCCCTACTTCTTCAGGTTTTAAAAAAAGATCAAGAATGGGATGGTTAGCGCTTTGCTATAGATAGCCCTGCCTTTATCAGCCACAGAAAGAAGAAGGACTGATTAGAGTACCAAAACCTTTTCCATTTTCTCCAGCTCTTTGGCTATCCATCTCCTCTGATCAAACTACATTGTGGAAGGCTGACCAGATACTGAGAGTCTGCGACCAGCCCATCTCTTTCAAATGCAAGCTCGGCACTGGCGGGTGTAGCTCAGTGGATTGAGTGCAGGCTTGTGAACCAAACAACCGTGGTTCGATTCCCAGTCAGGGCACATGCCTGGGCTGCGGGCCGGTTCCTAGCAGTGGACGCATGAGAGGCAACCACACACTGATATTTCTTCCCTTCTCTTCCCCTCTAAAGATAACTAAATAAAATCTTTTTTGAAAAAAGGAAACAAATGCAAGCTTGCCTCTGCCCTAGGGAGCTGGTCAGCACAGCCACTGACGAGCAGCCACTCACCAAGCTGAGAAAAGTTGAACCTTGTTCCTGAGGGAGAAGTCCCACTGGAGCCGGAGGAAAAGGGGGAGTTGGCGGCGGTGTCCTGCAGGCCTCCCGCCGAGTGGGACCGCAACCATTCCTTTGCGTCTTCTTGTGTGCGAAGCTGGGAGGTGGGAGCATACCTGGGCAGACAGAAATCAAGCTGGGATTAACTATGATCAACGCTTATGAAAATGAACTCCGTGAAGCTGACAACGATCAGATAGCCAAAGTTGATGTTAAAAAAAGAAATCAGATCACTACACATCCCGAAACTTAAGAAGTTTCTCAAAACATCTTTTTTTTTTTGCTACTTGGCCGCCTTTGGGGAAAACTGGAATTCCTAGCAGTTTGGAGGGAATGCACAAAGGGAGCAAGGTCGGTGAACGCTCAGAGGAGCTGTCACGGGGCGTACCTGTAACATGTTGATGCACGACAGTGTCATGTCAAAGCCCCCACCTTGATGGGACCGAACCAGCCAAATAAGCTGCTGTTACAGCTCCAAGGACGTTTTAATTAGATAACTCAGGGCACCTGCATTCTAGAGTGCACGCAAGTGGCCACGAACCATAGTGTATCAGAAACCAGACATGACCCTGGCTGGTGTGGCTCAGTGGATTGAGTGCAGGCCTGGGAACCAAAGGATCAGTTTGATTCCCAGTCAGGGCACATGCCTGGGTTGCAGGCCAGCTCCCAGCAGGGGACCCACGAGAGGCAACCATACATTGATATTTCTTTCCTTCTCTTCTTCCCTTTACCCTCTAAAGATAAATAAAATCTTAAAAACGAAATATAAAAAAGAAAGAAAGAAACCAGACATGAAAAGGTGTGAGGACGGCGATGCTTCTAGCAGTGGCTGAGATCCAGTGCAATCAAGCCAGCACACCAGGAACCCTAAATCATCAGCTTTCAGACCGGGGGTGCTCTTCCGAGGTCAGTACCCCATCTCATTTGTTCTGCAGCGTGTTTAGTAATGATTTATTGAATGTCTCCAATGAGCTAAGTGCCTTCGCAGATGTTATCCTGAGTCACGTGCCAAGGTCTCTACCTATTTTGTGCAATTTCACAGTCCACGTTCTTTTCAGGATGCCCACAGGCAGCTTCTCAAATTTCTACATCGTCTAAGTGGCTGGAGAGCCCTTAGACTAACACACAGACTGCCATACGGTGGCTAGTGATTACGTCAACAGTGGGATTCTTCTGGCTTAAAAAAAGCTGCTGTGGGTGTGTTGGTATCGGACGTGTGGGCCGAGGGAGGGGCTGGAAAGGGAAAGTCGGAGCGGGAAGGAACCGAGGAGCGCGCCTGCCCTTGTGTTTTCACTCCAGTTGGACACCTAACTCTCTAGGTCGCATCAGCTGCCTGAAGATAGCTTGCCACACATCCCCTTTCTGAATTTTTTGAAAGCCAATTTAGAAAGCCAGAGCGCCATCGTTTTCATAGGATAGATCTGCTCCAGAAATAGATAAATAGCATTTGGAAATGCTAATATTTAGAGAGGTTAGCTTCCTCTTGGGACAACAGTGGGGCAGCAAGTCTGGCTCATTAGAAGCGGCTGAAATGTAAGCATCCAGCCCAGTCGCTAATGATCAGCCCCCAGCGGTGTGAGGAACACTGTTCATTACAAAAGGCCTTGCCAGCTCCCCCTTCTAAGGCCACCCTGGGGAGACTTTTCAATGCTTTTATTTTTAGAGTCTTCGAATTGGCTTTACTTGGAGCTCCTTTGGAAAGAAAGCAGTGATACCTACCTCACATGACTGTTCAAAATGCTCTTGGCCTTACGAGCTACAGGTTATCAACTACAGACACACATGACAGTGTTGCAACAGTTCATTCCGAGTTCCGTTCTTTGCAAAGCACATAATGCTTAGTGCAGGGGGAAGCTGATGCCACAGAGGAGGAGGTGCTCAGGGGGCGGGGGAAATGAGAGCTGCAACCATACACATTGCAACCATGGGGCAGGCGTTAGGACCGACGTTCCTCTGATTGGCAAAGTGAAGTAGGTGGTGTGAGGTGTAGTGACTTACAGCATCTCGTTTTACCAGGACGGGCACCCAAAATCAGCCCAGGCTGTGACTTACAATGGACAAAAGGACATCGCTTCCTCACCGTCTTCTCTTTCTGCCAAAAACGGATTACGCCCATGTCTTGCTTGGGTCGATTCAATTTGTGATTATTATTTTGATGAGTGCTAAGTATCTGTCCTTAGCAATTTTCTATGGGCCGAGAGTTAAGTATTTTCAAATTTGGTGGTGATGTCTCCTTTCTCCTTGGCTCCGTCCTGGCTCACAAATCAACATGCTACAAGCCACGCCCTTCCTCTGGGAAGCCAGCCCGTGAACAAAATGGTCATGGTGACGTGCTCAGCGACGAAATCCACTGGCCCCAGTTGTGCATGACATGGTTTTACCACAATAAGCCCGGAAAAGCACAGCCTCTGCTCAAGCACATAAGCCAACGAATGGAGAGATGAGAATGGGTGAGTGAGAGGGGAGCAGTCGTCCACGGTCCTACTGCAGTGGCCAAAGCGAGGGAGCCCAGCCCAGCCCAAACCCCCCCCCAGCCAAGCCCCAGAGCCACACGGCACGGCATGGATGCAAGGAAAAAACACAGATACCTGAGTCCTTTCTTAGGCAAAGTGTTCCTATCAAGGTGCGGGTCACTGTAGGGAGGTTAAAACAAAAATGAGAACTTCAGAGAAGCACAGAGAAAGCAGGCGATGTGAGGCAAGAAAGGCTAAGAAGGGGCCAGAGAGAGACTCGCTTCGCCAGGAAGGCCCTGTGCCCAGCGGAGCATGCAGGCCATTGGAGGGCAGCCGGAGTAACCCCGTCCTCCGCCTGCGCTGCGGCCAGTGCATACGCCACCCCGAGCCACCAGGAGGCCTGAGCCACTCGGCCCCACCGGTTCAAAGCCAAACTCGGGGGCTGCCGCACCTCGAGGCAGAGCCCGTGCCTTCTGCCACCCAGTCACCCATCCCTGCACCGTCACCACCGCTTCTTGGAGAGCAAGATGCCACCTTCTCTGCACCACTAACTCTGGGCCACCCCAGTGCCACGGGCAGTGACTTCCAGTGAGGTCAGGGACTTGCTGGAGAGTTTTAAGAGGCCTGAGGTCTGCATATTTGGAATTCACAAGTGAATTCCAGGTCCTTCTCTGTTTCTGCAGTCCTCATTGGATGTTGCTAAGAGCTGAGCCCTGGGCCTGAGTCAGGGCACGTTACAACTTGCAGGCTGATAAAGTCAAGGCATCTGGGTTTCCAAAGAACAAGGGTTTAGAGGCTTGGTCTGGGAGTCTGACAAAAACAAAGATTTTGCTGTTGATGAGGTGAAGAGGGCTTTCATTAATTTTTTTTTTCTATCATGAAACAACATCTGCTTGCTATGTTTGGCCAAGCCACGGCTCCCCCACAAATTTAAGGTCAATATTCATTTCTGAGGCCCACCCACAGGACAGCTGGGGGCAAACAAGCCTCTTCATTTATAAAGTCTCAATGCTCCACGTACTCTTTTTCATTATCATTACAGGAAACGCGCACACAAAACACAGCAGCCTACAAAACATAAGGAGCCAAACTGCAGCGAAGGACTTGAAAGGGAGAAGGGCCAGCTGTGTGGGGAGTGGAGGGGGTGGGAGACGAAGGTGAGGGCCAAGCTGCTTGGTGGGTGGTGGGTCATTTCTGGGCTTGGAGCAGGAGGGGAGGGGGACGGGGAAGGGTGGGAAGCAGGAGCATGCCACAGGAACGCTGAGATGCAAGTGAGAGCTTCTGCCGCACCCACTTCAAGTGGCAGGTTTGAGGTCCCTTCCCAAGTCGGGAAGGGAGAGGCCAGCCCACCTCCACCTCTCCCGGGGCTTCAGGGGACAGCGGAACAGACCCTCACTGGCATGTCTGGGGGTCACACACTACACTGGAGCCACGAACACAAGCGGAAGCCTCAGGCCGACAGCCTCACACAAGACATCTGGCTTGACACAGACGGGCAGAGGAACCTAGAAGGCTCGGCGGGGTCTCCGGCCTACAGTGTCATTACCTGTCCTGTTTCCTGGGCAAAGTACTTCTGCAGAACTTAGGGCTAGCAGCAGGGGAAGAGAGAGGGCTAGAAGTCCAGGCAGGTAGAAAACAAGAGAAGGAACATTAGACTGGAAGAAAGAGGGGGAGTTGTAAAACACAGTGACTTTTCTCTTCCCCAGGGCTGACCCTGGCTTGCTTTCCTCCCTATCAGGGAGACAATGGGCTCTTCACTGAAGTGAAATCCAGAGCTCTGGGGATGCTTTAGGTTTCTTGATTTCCTGTCACTGGCCAGCAGCCCTTCACTGGGAGGGTGTTCACCGTGACGGCCACAAAACTGACCCTGCTGCCTAAGGAACATCCTACCACACACCCCAGGGTTGCAGCCGGCCACCCACTCTGCCTGCACAATTACAAGGAGAGGGGAAAGAAGCCAACCGATGAACAAACAATAAAACGAAAGGATTTCAAAGATGGAATGCCATTTCAAATGGACGCATTAAATCTACCCCCAAGAGACTTCCAGCAGCTCCAAGCATTGAGAATAGCCACGAAGAAAAAGGTAACAGGAAGCTGAGCTGAGCTGAGCTGAATTCCACCCCAAACTGGCTTTCCTGCGGAAGCCACGGGTGACCAGAAAGAGAGCACTCTCCCAGGCCAGGGCAACTAACACGTGGGATCCCTGACACAATCCTTTGTCTCCTGAAGGGGTGTGTTTCTGAGAGAGTCAGGCAGCCCAACGCACGTCACCAACCTTTCTGACAGTGTGGTCTTCACACTGTTGGTTCTCACAAAGGGAGTCAGGGGGTCGTCCTTAGAGGAGGCGACGAGGCCCGTGGAGGAATTGTGACTCAGGCCCCCTCCACTGCCGAGGGAGATGTCAATGGACTCGCAGCTGGTGTGGAGGCTGCTGACGGACTGGAAGCCCAGGCCGTCCTTGCTAACTGCCGAGGAGCTGCTGGCATTGGTGCCCCAGGTGAGGCTGTTGGAGGGGCCCGAGTGCGCCGAGCTGGGGCTGGAGGCTAGAGGAGACGGGTTGAGATCCGCGTTCTTACTGTAGAGAGGGCTGCTGCTCCCGCTGCTCAGGGCGCCGCTGCCTGAGGGGGACTCTGAGTTACCTGGCTGGGTCAGGGTGGCATGAGGGTTGGAGATGACCACCGAGCTTTTCATGTTTTCAGCTGCGGCGATGGGCACTGGCTTGCCAGGCTTCCCACCAAAGAGTCTGTGAAGAGACAAAGGGTTGTTTGGGTTGCACACCCAAGCCGAGGGGCTCCCAGCTGCTTAGTCAGGTGCGGCTCTGGTCCAAGAGCCATGGGAGTCCCTGGGGGGAGGCACGGTCGTTTCAACAGAAATGGCTACAGAGATCCCATTGGGACAGGCCACCGGGACACTCGTGAATGACACATCCCAGCTTCTAGTGCTACACTGCAGCTGGGACCCTGGCTCTGTCCGAGCCAAAGGGTCAATGGGGAATAATTTTCTACAGGACTATTCATGCTGGTCCAAGATCCTGCTTCCCTCTTTCTGCGAACAGAGTAAACAGAAAATTGCCCTGGCCCAGGAAACATCTAGAAGGAAAAGAGCTGCCTGCATCATCTTTGTATCCGTGACCCCAGGCATAAAGCAAGCCCTTGACCTGCAGCTCAACACCAGGCATCGGGACGATTCGATCTCTAAGCACGTGTAGAACCGAGAACCTGAGCCTAGACCTGCATGAGGCCTGGGAAACGCATCTTCCCAGATTTCTCCAGCGAAAGCCCCACCCGAAAGGTGTGCCTTTGAGGCCAGAGGGCCAGCACTGCCCACTGAGGCACACGGAAACCTTGCTAAGTTCCCAAGATGTTAGACCAGACACACGGTGTGAACTGTGTCTCTGTTCCAGAGACACAGAAATGCCATTCCATGTCATCCCCCCTGCTCATGACCAGAAATGTGCCATCGGAACACAAGAAACAGCACAAACATCTCCCTCCTGCACTGGCAGAAGGGTACCTGGTGAGCGGCCGGGCTGCCTTGCTGTCAGGGAGCAGCACCTGCTCCAGTAACTCGAGTGCTTCCACCCACTGAAACTCTGCTGGGACAGGCATCTCTGCAAAGTGGCGACAACACCAACTAGCAGGTGGCTCTTCCCCACACTGCTTAGCGGCACGAGTTTGACCTCTCTTCTCCAAACAGTCCTTATAAATCTCAATTATCATCAAGATGACCAACCGACAGACCACGTAATCAATCCTCACTACAGTATCTGTCAGCCAGTGAGTATCTGGTGACAGATAAGAAACTTTTTTGCCTGGTGACAATTAGAGAATGAAACATCCAATTATTAAATTTTGGCTTGAGAATGCTTCTACTCTTCCAGTAGTGGGGACCCTACTCTTGCAAGGGGTAACTCGCCCCAGTGCCTGGCACTGTCAGTGAGAAAGCCAAAATCTGATGCACCGTCTTCACTTTTACTCATCACTCCTAATCCTGCTGGGTCTAAAGACACTGAGAACACCCAACCTTTCCGCTGAAGAGAGTTACCACACTTCACCCGAGATGTCTCTTCTCTGTTTTTGTTGTAAGGTACAACAAAAACACCTCAACCATTTAGTAAACATGCAACTGTCAGGAACTGGCTGAAAGGTGTCCCATGCAGAACCCAAGAAAACACGTGCATTTTCAACTATTCCAGTGCACTAGCCTAAAGGTCTAATAAAATGTCTTTGTAGTTACTGAAGGAAATTCATAATACCAGAGAGTGAATATTACGTGTAATACTTGAGGCAAGAAGCAGAGAAAATGTTCATTTACAAGGCAAACCTGGTACAACAACAAAGAACAGCCCGATAGGACCTTCCCCAGAAAAAGTGATTATTACTGAAATTCTAATAATCAAGTCTAGACAAAGAGCAGCGAACTGCTTCATTATACCTTTTGCGAGGAATGCTTCTTCGGAAGCCTGTTTGAGCATTCTGAGTCATTCCCAAATACGTACACATGCGCACAGTTTTTTGTTTTTTTTTTCCACTGCATGGTTTGCTGCCCTTGGACTTGCTCTTTCCTACAACAAGAAATCTCCTGGGGAGCTAGACTGAGTTCTGTGCCACGCACGTGGAGTTTGAGAACGGTCCAGTGGGTACGGCGATTATACTGAGATATTATGAACAGGCACAAAAAAAAAAAAGCTGCAGAAATTTAAAACAAAGTTGAAGAAAAAACAGCAAATAATACTTGCACGTAAAAATCCCCACCCCGTGTGGAAATGTGAGAAAATGCTTTTTTAAGGTAATAGAAAATCAATTTCTCTTTTTCAGAAACACTGCTGCTTTGAGAGGTTGTTTTTTTTTAAGGGAAGCTAAAACTTCAGAGACTAATTGGAATTATGCATGTGGTTATAAATAAGTATGTGGAGAATATTGGACTATTTGAGAAAAGGATCTGGCCAAGATCACTGTCTAGCATAATGAGGAGGAATTGTAGCCCCTGAATTAACAAGACAAGAAAACAATTGTCTGCATCCCCTGAGCGACCTATCCAGATCTGGATGGTAGCTAACTATTATTCACTACTTACTATAGGCCAGATATAGCTCCACAGATGAGTCTTTGTAAAAACTCTCAGGTAGGTGTTGGTGTCCCCATTTTACAGATGAGAAAGCTGAGACCTACTGTTAAGAAAGTTTACATGGTGGCTAATTAAGGTGAAACCAAGCTTCGAACTCAGGATGATCGATTACAGAGGCTTAAGATTTTCATTCTAACATGGAAAAAACCACCAGGTGAGGGTGAAATTGCTGGCAGCCTCTGACCAAACAGCTTTATCCTCGGGCTGAAGTGGAGGAAATGGAGGCTTTAACTAAGAAACAGGAAATTATTCACAAGCCAGGACACCATCCCATACATCCCAGTTCTGCTCAGTGCCATTTGCCCACTTACCTGCGGAGCGTGGGAGAGGCCACGTCGGGGTACTTGGCCCCTGGCTGGAGAGTGGCCTGGGCCGCACTGGACACAGGCTGGGCTGCCGGGTTCACCTTCACGGAGTTACAGGAAGCCACGCTCTCGTTGTCTGAGGAGATGCCTTTCTCCTTATCCGTCTGGTTGACCAGGCCCGGCAGAGAGCTCCCCAGGGCCGTCCTGGAGGGCTCCCTCAGCTTGGGCACCGGCAGGCCTGCTGACTTGCTGCTGATGTTGGAATCTATGCTGCTAGTACTAGATCTGTTCCCAGCCCCGTTCCGGCTGGTGGACTTACTGGGCCGTGGCAGGCTCCGGTACTGCAGGTTTGTCCGGGAGCTGAGGGACAGGTACGCGTCGTCCTGATTCTGAGCCCCGTCCATGCTTGTCTTCCGACCGGTGGACCGCCCGACGAGTGCAGACGACTTTGGGATTTTGCCCAGGGTGGCTGACCTGCTGGTGACAGTGGCCCCGCTGGCCGTGATCATGGCCAGACCGGCAGCTGAGCCACTCTGCTTCTTGAACCCAAAGCTGCTGGCGTTGGCGGTGGGCGTCCGGGAGCTGCTGGGGAGGGGCTTCTTGGACTCGTCCCCACTGCTGCGGCCTGCATCTGACGGGGAGCGCTTCACCTGCGAGGCTTTGGGGGACAGCCTCCCTTTCTCGGACACCTTCGCATCATCGGTTTTCCCTGAGAGAGAAATCGGCAAAGTTAACCTGCAAACCAAAAAGCCGGCTCATCCAGTTCAGTCTGTTTAAAACCTTCCCCTCCTCCAAAGAACTGGTTCACATTCTCCTTGGGGACAGCAGGGCCCTTGGGAGGCAGAGGAAAGAGCTTTTCGTAAAGGCAATCTAGTCTACTACTGTCACCGTGAGCCTTTTAGATGTCAATGATGTTACTCATTTGCAAAGCAGTCTAAATTTACCCAGCGTAGAGCAAAGCCAGCCAGTCACTGACGTGTCTGGGGGAGAGGCCTGACTCTCACTGAACTTTCTCCCTCTGTCCATTGAAAAGATGTTCCTAACCTTGACAGGAGGGACCCTGGACTTCCTGCAAAAAGAGTTCCCCTGTTTACACTCACCCCCGAATCATGGAGACATCAACTCAACACGCCAACAGCTTAAAAACACATGCCCTCGTGTGTGCGCTCATACCCTGCGGCACACACGCCAGTGTAACACGGCCTCCGCAGTGCACCGCCTTCGGAGAACCTTCCCCACATTTTTCCATGTGGAAAAAGGAAGAGATGCGGACTTTCCTGAAAACTGGTTATTAGCAGACTCTACACCCTAAGAACAAATACCTGAGCATTTATGGGACTTAAAAACGAAGAGGCCAAAAACAATTCCTTGCTAGAGTGACTTTTGGTTTGGAAACTGACACCTGTGGATGAAAGACAGCACGGCCTCCTACTCACCCGATCCTGGGGTCTTCAGCGCGCCCGCTGAGGCGGCCGGCTTCGTCCTCGGCACGGTGATGCCCACCTGGGCTGTCATGCCGCGCCGCCACGAGCCCGTCTGGGCGATGGCGGGGTTCTTCTTGCCCGATGTGCTTTTGTCGGACTCGTCAGACATGTCCGAGGGATTCCGCCTCCACTTGGAGCCTGGCTCCATCTTCACGCCGCTGTCCGACCCTCCGTCGGACTTCTTGACATCGTCACCGGACCAGAGGGAGCTCCTCTCCAACTGTGAGTGCTTCTCTGCGTCGGTCTGTGGGTGAAACGCTGAATTAGTTCCTCCCAGACGCTGGGCTGGAGAGGCCCTCACCACTGAGCAAAAATGCCAATATGCCGGGTGAATTCAGAGAAAAAGAATAACTACTTAAAAATGTTTGGGCCTTTGTACTCTGGTTATCTTATTAGAAGACCCGATTTCTTTTTGGTCCAAGGAAAGTAAAGAATACAACTATGTCCTTGAGAGGAGTGAGGGAGGAGAGAAAAAGGGGCCAGAGGAAAAAGCGTGAAGGAGCCCCATGGAGAACTGTGAGCAGATGGGAGATGTGGCGAGAATTCAGCCACCAACTCTCTGCCACTTGGAGAGAAACCCCCTCTCACGCAGGCAGCCTGATCTCTAGCCAGCATCCAGCCTCCTGCCCATCTCCCTTTGTTCTTCCGTCTCCCTATCGCTCCACTGGCGGCGAGATCTCAGGCTCTAGCACAGCGTCACAGTCTAACACTCAGAGCCAGTGAGCAAGCAAGTGGGGGCAGCTGCCAGTTTGACTTTCAGGGAGAGAGAGGAGCCGAGAGGAACACACACCCTCCAAAGCCACTTCCCCCCAAAGCTGAAAGCCCGCGGGTGCCTGCTGCTACCCCAGCACTGTGCATATGCCACACTGCTCTGCTTCTCTTGTGGGATTCTGTTCAGACAAGGCATATAATTAGCCAGCTTTCTTTGGAAGAGCCTTGACCTGCTGGCCATGGAACCCAGGAGGGGACAGAAGTGTGATGTTAATGATTTGCTGCAGTGAAAAAGCAGAAGCTAACCAGAATGTTTCAGGGGCCTCCCTAAGGGAGGGGGGCAGTCCGAGGAGATGCCAGTCGGGAGAAGCCAGGCAGAGAATGGGGAAGGGAAGTCACTTCAGAGTGGCTGTACTAAGATATACGTCCCTTACTTGCTGTACTTCACTCCCTACAGTGGGCATTATCGGCAGGACAGGAAATCAAAACGATCACCTGGCCAGAATCTGGCTTAATGCCCATCACCCAAGAGTATCACAAATACCTTCCTCCACGTGGGCTGAGTGGGACCAAACCCAAACACAGACAAGCAGCCCAAGTTCAACTGTCCCTTTATCACCACTACGGACTCTTTCGCTTTCTCCCTTCCCCCCTTATGAATTCCCCTCATACATGATAGCCACCCTACAAGTGCCTCCATCCTTCAGTCATTCCTCAGACACACGCTGAGCTCCTGCTAGGTACTAGGCACCAAAGATGTGAAGAGACAAAAGCACCCCCTGACCTTGGGAAGCTCACTGCTCAGAGGCTGTGGGGACACAGAAAGAGGACTTCCCAGGTCTGAGCACAGGGCAGGGGCTCCCTCAAGGCTTGGCGAGCAAATGAGTGAACAAACACACACTCGCTTTTGCAGCTGGAGCACGCTTTAACAAAGTAATGCCATCTGACCCCAGCCACCCGACCACCTGGTCAAATAGAGTAAGTAAGCAGGGAAGCAGTACTGTCTTCACCTCAGTTTTACAGATGAGAGGAAATAAAAGTTGCCCCCTCCCACCCCGACCGGCGTGTCTCGCTTGGTTGAGTGTCGTCCTGCAAAGCGAGAGGCTGCAGGTTCAATTCCTGGTCAGGGCAAGATTTCCTCTGTGCCCACTGTTTGCCAGTCCCCACGGCGGTCTGGGGATTTGTGGGTAAGACTGGCTCCCACCACTCCTGGAACTTATGATTCAGTGAAAGGGGCAGAGATTGGATAAATAAATACAAATAAGTAACTGTGAATTATAAGGAATGTTGTAAGGAAAAGGAGTCTGAGGGAGGAATATTTAGACTATGGTAATGGGGCTGGGAACAGAGGTAAGGTAAGACCTTTCTGAAGAAGTGCCCTAAAAAACTAGGAGAAACTTATTAAGAGAAGAGCATGTGCCAAAGCCTGAGACAGGGAAGGGTGTGGCTTTGGAAGCAATCACCCAGCAAATATCCACCAGGCGCCACCATCTGCCAGGCAAGCTTGGGGGCACCGGGAATACTACAATGAACAAGTGCAAATCATTAATATCTTGTCCAAGTACATTTTAACACTTTCTAATACACTCTCAGATGTACTGAAAACTCAGCACACCACACCCTGGATTACTGCATCCGTTCTTTTAACATTCATTCCTTTACTTCATTCCCCTCAGTCAAATTGTAGCGGTGCTAACAGCAGTAATGGTAACAACAAAATTTACTAAGCGCTCACTGTGTGTTAGGCACAGGGCTAAAGTGCCTAACACTTTAGTGTATCATGTAATTTAATCCTCTCAGAGGAAGTTACAGTTCATCGTCCGAATTTCACATGAGAAAACGGAGGCACGCAGTGGAAAAGAGAAGTGTCCAAGGTCACACACAGAGGTGGTGGCGACGCAAGGGCTCCAGGGATCCGCACCGTATCCACTTCACGACGCCGCCTTCCCGGGAATAAGCCCAAGAACAGGAGACACTTCTGCTTGTCCGTGGCTCCTGACGTGATCCCAACACCCAGCAGATGCTCTTTCCGTACTGGCCGGCTGGTTGCTCTCCGACTCCAGCCCCAGAGCAGCTCCAGCTCAGCCTCTGGGTGGGACGCCCGGAGCTTCGAGTCCACCAGTGGCAGAGAGAGTGCCACAGGGCCCTGGCTCAGGACTGTGGATCGACCCCCACCCCCGGAAAGAATGAGGACCCCACCATCACGCCCCCATAACTTGGTCCAGGGCGGCAGCCTTCCCTACACTACTCCGCACAGTGGGCACCTGCCTGGGACATTACCGGCTTTAAGTTCCCATCTCCTTGGCGAACCTTCCTGGAGCCATGCCCCAGATCGTAGGGTGACACCACCAGGGACCAAAAGGTGAGAAAGCCCCTGCCTCTCTGCTCCCAGGGCTTACAACCCAAGGCCAGCAGGATGGCCACGCGGGCTGCTGCGCAGAGCCCTCCCCTCCCCTTGGCCCTCCATGCCCCTGTCGCTGTTCCCCGCTCCTATGGTGCCTCATTTTGAAAGGATTTTCCTACTGCCCCGACCTGGAGCCCACTTCCTCACTCAGCATCCTGGAGGGAGGTAAGGGACTAGCCATACAGGAGAGGGAGAGGGCCTGGGAGGTCGGGCAGGTCACGAGCGAGGGCCCCGGTTCCTCAGGGACCACAGAGAGGCCAGTCCTCTGAGAGTGACAGGCTGGAACTAAGGTGGGGGCGCTCTGAGCAGTGTGGTGGGGGCCGCATGGCATAATGATGGGGGAAACATGGGCTTTGAGTCTAGCAGACTTGGAGTTCAAGTACTGGGTGCTGCCCCTCCTTTGCTGTGAGTGGGACCCTGGAGGGGTGGCTTAGCTTCACTGAGATCATTACCTTGTATAGCAAATGAGGGTGACTAAGGTGGGTATCTTAGAGAGCTAGCTAGTTGAGAGGAGACTCAATGAGCTAAGCGTGGAGGAACCCAAAATCCTCTCGCCTCTGAAAACCCCCAGCACCTTAGCATTTGTCCCATTTTTGTCTTGCATTAGGTGTGAAAAGGGCACTTGTCTTTCTTGCTATTGGGCCGCAAGCCTCTAGAAGTCAAGGACACGCCCTCTTCATGTCCACGTTCCCTGCAGATCCAGAGGCTGAATTGGCTGAAGTCTGGGCCCCAGTCACAGCAGAAAATCACCAGCATTATCACCATCACCTGCCGCTCTTCTTGCCGGGCACTGTGTCCATCCGCATCCATTATTAGCTCACTCAATCTGCTGAGCCTGCACCATCCGTATTTCACGGACCAGATGTAAAGAGCAAAAGCAACTCAAGTCACAAGCAGCAGCAACCAAGCAGGTGGGTAAAAGCAGCACCCTCCCCGCCCCCTGCCAAACCCTATCCCTTCGTCCAGACCAATATCCAGGGAACGGCCAGGGAGCTCCGGGCTCTCTTGTGGCCACAGGCCAGGAATCCCTGCCAGAGAATTCAGGATTTTATTTTCTTGAGAAGCAAAGAATAAATGCACATGGCATTATCTACCTTCCCCAACCCTGTATATTTTGTTAAAAACTTCACAGGCTGTGAAAATAAGAAAAGTCTTGAATTGTGCCTCTCTGCATCTCGGCACCTGGAATGGAACCTTCCAGAGAACTGAGAGGAAATACAAAGTGACTAAGGACACCAGTGGGGAGATGAATACATGGGCCAGAGACGTATGCTCTGGGAAACCCTCCTGCCACCAACAACACTGTCCTCAAAAGAAAAGGCTGCAAGATGTAAGGCGAATTGCTTCGAAATGACCAACAAAATGTGTTAAGAACACAGTCACCTTTAATGCTGACATGAATGGAGGAGGGAGGTCGAGAGACGGTACTCCAGAGGAAATTAGAAACTAAGTATGGTCACCCCTGAGCAACTACCAAGAACGGGGCACCGAGACAGAGCGTTTACATAACGTATTCTCATTCAACACTCACCCTTCGAGATCAGTCTCATTACCATAATTTTATGGGCGAGGAGACAGAGACTTGGAGGGGTGATTAGCTTACCCAAGGACGTCACAGAGTGAGGGGCTCAGCCCTGACCCCAGAGGCCACCCCTTGGACCTGACATGGCTGCCCACCTGGGCTCACCAGGGGCCCCGGAGAAAGTCAGTCAGGAGGCTGCCATGCCTCAAGCAGGGGAGACTCTGCCCCCCATGCAGGGAAGCAGTGGGCACGGCTGCCAGATGCTGAACCCAGGCACATGTTCCTCCTCGACATCCGCGAGGAAGATGGCCACTTACAGACAGGGCACTCGGTCTCCCAAGGATGGCTCGCTCCTCTGTGATGCGTCTCCTCCTCCCCATCAGCTGATGGAGGCGACTCCTTCAGCTTTCCAGACTGTAACTTCCTTGTTCCTTAGATGTACTTCCTTTTGGCTATTCCTCAGAGGCTTTTCAAATATGAAAACCTAGGCAGGCGACCTGTCCTCAACCCTTTTTCCCAGTGACACGTTGAGCCACTTCTTCCTGCCTCTCTGTGCCCCATCTGGGACAGTGTGTGCTGCCCGTCCACCCAGGAGAAGCCAGTATGTGAGGAAACCCGAGTGAGCCCTGGGGGAGGGCGGCAGCACGTGTCTTCCCACCGGCTGCTGCTGATGCTGATGCTGATGCTGATCAGAGAGGAGTAATGGCCCTTGGCACTCCTCCGAGTGATGCAGGGGAGCCTGGGGTGGGGGCTGCCATTTGCACAGATTCAAATATTTGGAGATGCTCCCTGGACAGGAACAAAGGGATGCCACTACAAACCCACTTAAAGAACCATCTCTAATAGGAATTTTGGAAACTATTGGTGCAAGTCTGTGTTTTACTGCAACACCTACTTGCTTAGATTTTATTTAAATATTTTAAACGCAGGTAGTCTTACTGCAAAAAGAACCCAGTGAGTATTAAATTTTTTAGGTCCCTTGAAATTAATTTTCTGATCCTGGTCAAAAGACATGTCCGTGTCATGTTCCTGGACCTTTTCTGATGTGACCTGTCCCAGATGGAAGCAGAGAGCTGGTCAAAGAAGAGGGGAGCCTGGTATGAACCAAACCTGAGAGTATCTGATAGGAAATCACTGGTAAATCCCCAATGTGGACTCTGTATCGACGTGGAAATAGATTCCGATTCTGTCTGGCTTTGTGGGGAGGGAACAAAGACAAGGACATTCTTCCAACACTGTTCGGCTGGCTCGACGCGCCTCTTAGGAGCAAGCTGCTCCTACCTGGCAGGCAGATGCAAGACAAACGACTGGTTTACGGGTCTGTTGGCGCCTGTCCCCTCCTGCACCCCCTCCCGCTCCTCTCAAGGACCTGATACCCTGCCTGCCCCCTGACTAGACAGCAGGTGAGCAATTCCTTGGTTCCCTGTTTCAGAATCTAAGGACCTATGGAAGCCAGTTGTTATTTATGTCACATATGGTATGAATTAAAATTAGGATGAATCTCGGGAAAAAAATTACTGTCCACAGGGAAAGGAAAAGTGGTGGATGCTGAGACGTTCGGCAAGGGTGGGTGGCAGGGACACAGGCAGCCTGGGGGTCTCTAACGTGTGTCTAATTACCGACAAAATGGGGGTCACTCTGGGGCAGTGTGCCTTAGGTTCTTTCTTTCTGACTATAAAGCTTTTCATGAAGGTACTGCATTCACATACTGACGTACACGATTGTAAGTATACAGCTGGAATAAATTTTACCAATTAGCACACATATCTATCACGCGGAAATCAAGGTATAGAACATGATCAGTGCCCCCCTCCCCACATCTTCGTGCCCCTTTCATTTGGGTAGATTTATCCCCCTGTAGCCACCACTACAACCCGCCCTCACTCTCCAACAATAATTAGAAGTTCCAGCTAAACCCAGAGGCGACACCTAAAATATTCCACTGGTCAGGCAGCGCGTATTTCTGTGGGTCAGAATTACTCCCACGCTGTGACGTACCCTTGCTTTAGCCCTGTCCTCAAAGATAGAATACCTTTGAAAGCAAAGAGATTCCAAAGCCGTTCCCATCTGTTGAGAAACAATGGGAAAGTAAATACATGGAAGGGAATGAGCGGACGTGGAAGGGAGTGAACGAAGGGGGCAGTGTCAGTTCTGCCCCCCCCCCCCAACGAAGTCGCCCTGGGAGACTCTGTCCTGATCAGACCTTCACATGGGCTCCCCCAAAGCAGTGGCCCCGTGGGTGGGAGGGACCCATCATGAAACAGATGGCAGCCCACATGTGGCAGTGCCATGACTGACCAGTCCTTGTGCTGGCAGACCCACCTCGGGGACCTGTCATGCAGATGGCACTTGGCTGTCCCTCTAGTAAAAGGGGTTTATGAGAACCAACTTTTCTCTTCAATCACTAAAAAATGACATGAGGGCCAGTGAATGGACCCCCACGAAACTGCTTTGAAAGCAAATATAATGTAGCACTACACTCAAAACATAAAACCTGGGAGTTTATAAAGTAGCACTGAAAACTCAAACGTCTCGGCGTCTGGCAGCCTGGCGCCCTGGGGCTTGGGGGCCCAGCCGAAGGGGCCAGCAATGGGACATCGCTGACTGTTGCCATTTGGAGAATGCAGGTCCAGAAGACAGTATCTTCTGATTTTCTTCACGAGAAACCGGAAACTCATGTATTTTCATGTAAAATAACACAATTCATAAAATTTGACATGGAATCCAGTTAAGAAGAAAAACCACACCATGGGCCAAATAAAACACACTGTCAGAAGGACTCCATGTACTGGTCAGCCTATTCAGGGCTCCCAGTCTTTGTCCCCAATGCTCCTGAGGAACCAGACACGCACCCGAGACAGCGAAGAGGGGACACACACTCCTGGCTAAGAACAGCCAACTGAGTCCAGCATCCCAGTTTTTAAAAAAACAGATTAAGAAACCGAGGTACAGGAGGGGACTGTGACTTTTCCAAGGCCACCACAGGAAAGATGGCATGGCTGCCCCACTCCCACGTCCAGCGCCCCACTGCCCAACACCAGGCAGAGGCCAGGCCGGGGGACAAAAGCACAGGCAGCAAGCAGGAGGCTGGGCCCCACCCCACGCACCTGGGGATACTGCTCACTCCGAACGGCCCCTTGGGCTCACCAGCCCAAGGCTCTCTGCCGGCAGGGGCCTTGAGGGAACCTGGGAGGGACCGTGTGCCTTACCTGTACATCCAGGTTTTTGCGAGAAGAGGCAGGTGTGTTGGCATAGGAGCTGATGGAGGAGCTGGTGTTGATGTCATCGGTGCTGAGGTTGTCTATGGTGTCGCTGATGCCGCTGCTGACGGAGCTGCTGTCATCCCAGCTGCCAAGACAAGCACATCCTGAGCACCAGAACCGCACGCTGTTCTGCAAATGCACACGGCCCCGGGAGGCTCGCTACGTCATGAAGCCCCAGACTGACATGACACACCATCCTGGTCCTTTGGGACGGGCGGCTGGGGCAAGCAGCGGATACAGACCTTCCCCACAAGGCCGGTGCTTCCCTGAGTGGCTAAAAACACCACCCGTTTCCTCCCCCACCCTCAACTTCATCCCAGGAACTTTATGAAGTCAATGGCTGCTTCCCAGGCCTCATGGCTGAGTAGGAGCAGTGGCTTTGGAGATCGGAGCTGAGAGCCGTGCATGGAAAGATTCAGCAGTGACACCCTCCTTGGGGGTCGCCAGAAGTAGGAAGAATTCTCAGTGCATTAAGAATGCGCTGGACTCCACTCCTGGATGAAATGTCAATGGGATGAAAGCTGCAAAAGGCAGCAGGGACCCGCTAGCACCATTAGTAGCTCTGACTCTACTAATATCCCAGGATGCATCTGAAATAGAATGCTTCATTTCCCAACTCTCGGATCCACTGGGATCCATCCCCTCCCCCCACCTCAAGTCAAGTCTCCGGGCAATGACTCTTCTCTTTCCTTCTTACCATCTCTCAACACCACCAAGACACTTAAATCCCCTTCTGCTCCTGCCCTCTCAACTTGCAACACGTATCCCAATGTTCATCTGCTATCTACTCTGCTTAGGTGCTGGCCGACAGGTCAGCTGGGCTCTGGGCTCCACTCCTAACCAGTCAGTCCACTCACCCCACAGTGACCGTATCTGAAACATAAATCAGACCCCGTTGCCCCACTGTTAATACACTCCAGTGGTTTCCCAGGTACTTAAAACCCAACTCTTTACTCTGGCCCTCCAGACCCTCCGATCCACCTCCCTCTTTAGCCGGGTCTCTTGCCAGCCTCTCCATCACTCACTGGCTCCGGTCACGTGGGCTTCTGTTCTTCCTAAGCTGACAGGGCCTCCATTGGTTATCCTTCCTCCTGGACACTTGTCCCTGCCTCCTGCTCACCTGAAGTGTCACCCCTCAAAAGGCTTTCTTCCCTGGTCTCATGATGTAGAGTGCCACCCCTCCCCCCACCTATCAACCTGCTGCATTTTCTCCTTTGGCTACAGGGTGGCAGGTACATAGCAGGTGATTTAAACTCATGGGGCTAAAGAGTTTAACACCGCTCTACTAAATGTAGAGGAAATAGCTAAGTACTATTATTTTTCTATTGTACAGGTGGAGACCCTGAGGCTTAGAAAGGCCAGGCCACTAGTAAGAGGTGGAACAGGACCTGGATGCAGCCATTATGACTCCAGAGTCACCCTCGTTTCTGTGACGCCAGACGGCATTCCTTATGTCCGGTTTCAGTGCACGTGGGGACACGACACAGCCCACTTCCCAGGAGGAAGCCGCGGCTTGCGGGGCAGGCACACACCAGGTTCCGCATCACACAGCCGGAGCGGTGCGGCCAGCTTCTGCTGCTGGCGCTGTCTGGTAACGAAGCACTGACTCAGCCACTTTACCCCTCCCCGCTCAGCCTTCCACCGGTGTCTGAGCCTGATGCCTCCGAAATGCTGGGTGGCAGAGGCCCGTCCCCCAACAACTCAAAGGAAGTTCTGGTTTGTACCAGCAGCTTGTAAGATCCGTGCCCAAACCCTGTGGACCAGGCAGGGTGACAGGTTTGCTGAAAGCTGTTTTCATCACCCTCCCCTTCAGCACGGCTATTTGGCTTCCAGAAGCCCACCTGGAGGGTCCCCCAGAAATGAGGGGAAATGTGTGACTGGTCCCCAGGTAGGGAGGGTGAAGGCAGGAAGCCTGAGTGCTCAGAAAGGGTTTAGTGTGGGTGATGTCACAGGCTCCAGAAGGCTCCAGGCCCCAGGGTCTCAGCAAACTTCACTCCTGTGAAAACTTCACTTATGCAATGTTCTAGTTTTTCCCTACAGAAAAGTCTGCTCTGCCTTCCAAATATGCGCAGGGGCTGCTTGGTGACAGCAGCTAAACACACGTCATGTGTCGGTACAGCGCCGGTCCCTTACACACATTATACACGGCTCCAGTCCTGGTGTCATTCCCGCAGGGCACCTAGTACCTCCCCCTTCACAGATGAAGAAGTCAAGGCTGAAGGAACAAGTACCTTGGCCCGTGTTTTTCAGGCTACACTGGAACTGGGTTTACAATGCGAGACTCTCTCATTTCGGGACATGCACACCTCCTGGTATGGGCCACACTGACTTTCACAACCATGGTCGTTCGTCCAGAACCTGCCACCTGCCGACTACCCACCATTCGCACATAAGCTCACTGACTCTCCTACACACTCAGAGGCAGTCTTGCTTCCTACTGGGGCAACTGAGGCAGTGAGGGTCCTCAAGGTCACTCTGCAAATGCAGGGCAGAGCTGGGAGTGAAGCGCCACCTGACCCCGAGCCCACCTCCTCCCTGCCACCACCCACAGGGTGATGTGCAGCAGTGTCAACCTCACTTTGTGGGGCCACCTCCCCTCCACCTCCAGGCACAGCGTCAGGGCTTATTCAACAGCTTCTGATGGGACTCCAGCGCAGAGGAGAGATGGCGGCACGTTCTGACGTGAAATCGCCACCAGCCCGGGATTCGGAGCCCAGTTCCCTCTTCACTTCATTCTCTGACAAGTCACAACTCTGTGCCTCAATTTCCTTAGGGGGTGACACATGGCTGATGCAACCCAGGCTGGGGAGAGTATGACACAACAGAAGGAAAAGGACTCAGATCTCCTCACACAATTAAATGGAAACCCCACGAGTCTTCAGTGGCACCGGCTGCCTAGAGTGAGGAATTCAATGTAGCCAAACCTTCCTATGATCGGATGAAGGAAGGACTGATGGGAGAGGCACGTGACTGGTGGGGATGGAAGTTAGGAACAGATGCCCATGAATCCAACCCCACATTTGTTGCTTTGAAACTGTACCCGCTCTTCCCCAAGGCCTTTTCACACCAGGCTATGATTCCAGCAGGGCACAGGGCACTGATCACACGCACGATTCCTCCCCTTGGTGCCCAGAGCAGTGTGAGGCTTGTCCTGAGTTCACAGGAAATCCGTGTAACTGAGCTGGCCCCAAAAGGGAGAAGCCAGAGATCTGCCCCACGGAAGAGTGGGACTGGGGGAACCAGTGACCCTCGGGGAGGCCCACGCTGAGCAAGAGCAGCTTCAGTGTCCCGAGCTGCCCGTGTGCCAGAAACCAAAGCTGCCCCCACATTTGGAGAACCAGTCATGTCTCCTTCACATCTGCAACTTCAGGGACGCAGCCAAGTCAACCTACATATGAAATCACTTCGGTTCCACCACTTGTCTAGTCCCCCAAAACTCAGGGTATAAACCGTCATGATCCACCAGGATCGGGCCAGTGAGCCCCGAAATGTATTCTAAGGAAAACTAGTTCCACGAGGTGTTGTGGCCCTGACGAGGGAATGCAGGGGACACCGGCTCTTCTGCGCCCCTCGCAGGCATTCACGTGGCGCACACACACCTCAGCGGTTGTGAAGCCCTGCAACGATCTCATTCCTGCCGCCTAGAATAGTATTTCCCCAACTTACACGGCCAGGCAGGAGATGCTGAGAAGGATGGAAGCGCCACTCTGGAAAGGGGGCGACTGAAGCCCACAGCTGTCAGCAGTCACCTCCCCTCAGCGGCGGCCTGAGCAGGCAGCTACCAGGGGGACGCGGAGTCCAGAGGAATGACGTTGCACGGACGCCCGCACCCCGCCGTACCTGAAGCCAGAGCACCCCTGGGAGACCACTGTGAGGACTAAGACACTGCTTTCTTTTGCTCAAAACTGGTTTGCTTAGTTTTTTCACCACTTGGTACATACTAACTATTGGGAAATTGCAATTTGTTTGTAAAATGACTCCAGACCTGTGTGGCCCAGAGTCAGACAGCAAAACTATGAAAAGCACGCCAAACCCATTCAGGCAGCAAGGACATTAGTTGAGGCCGATGAAGTGGCAAAGGAAGTTAGGTACAACCTGGCACGGGGTACAAAAGTCTGCTGACCCAGGGCAGGCGGTACATGTTGAAAGAGGTTACAAAAACTGATTACCAGGGAAACTTGACAGAAACCGAGAGGATGTGTGTTTACTGTGTGGCGAAATGAAATTCCGGCTCAGAAGCTTGAGGGACCCCAGTGACACAGCAGAAGGAACTAGTGTTTTCAGCTACAGCTCTGGAGTGATCGCCCTGGAATATGAGCTGACCACCCCTGCCCCACGGTCTTGAGAACGACAGGGAGAACGTGACCCCAGGATGATCCTGGGCCCACCTAGGTGTTCAGCCTACTGCTCTTACTTGGGAATAATGACTTTCAACCCCGGCAGGGCTTAAAAAGATGAAGAGATATGATGAAATCATAATGTTAATACCTTTAAAATGCAAGTTCTCTGACCACTGGGATAATCTCTGCATATTTATAATATTTCAAAGTGTGTGACATATTAGAGAATTGGAAAAACAGTCTTGTGATTTTGATTTTAAATGCTTTCTGACCTGAGCATTGTAAGAGGAAAGATTTGAAAATGACAGACTGTAAAAAGAATGGGAGGGTTTAAGATAATATGGCATTTGTAAAGTTAATGGATTTGTAAGAGTTGTGTAAGTGGGCGGGTGTCTGCTGCTAGGCTGGGAGATGGGCCCTGCCAGGAACTCGACCACACGAGGAAACCAGGGAGGTTAAATTTGTTAAAACAGTCTGAATTATCTAAGAAAACAGTGACGCAAATTCGCACACAGTACTAATTGCTTAAACCCAATTTGTTAAATCTGAATTAACAAACCACTAACCAATAAGAAGTGGAGGTCATCTTAATGTATACCCAAACCCTTGATTTGTAGATGGTATTTGTAAGGAAGCCTAGGTTTAAAAAAGAAGACTTCAATCAGTAGTATAGTAAAACCTAACGACCTCTTAAGAAGCTCTTTTGAGGGGGCACCATAAAGGCATTTAGAAAGATACTAAAGGG